TGAGTATTAATTATCAGCCCCTCGGAATTTGTGAATTTCAGTCACATGACATAAGTCGGAATTGAATTTGCATTTTGGAAAATTCAAAACAAATCAATTTATCAAATAAATCAAATTAGATCTATTAGGTATTAGGTATTATCTCAATTGATCAATCATCTCAATCATCTCAATTGACTATACAATGTCCTCTACTCCAGATGTGGAACCAACACCAACACCACAACCATCAACAACAAATATCCCCAAACGTAAGAAAAGATTAGCAAATGATGTTATTGGACAATTACAAGATCATTTAAAAGATTATCCATTAGATTTTGAATCATGGATAAATTTAATTTCTAAAACCCAATCAAAGGATAAAATTGATGAAGTTAGATCTGTGTATGATGAGTTTTTAGGTCGTTTCCCATTTAGATATCAAGAATGGATTAATTATATATCATTTGAATTACAACGTGATAATTTTGAACAAGTGGAAAATTTATTTAGGAAATGTTTATTAAGATTGCAGTCTATACCTGTTTGGAAATTATATATCTCTTATGTTTTCAGAAAAAATAATTTAATTACAGGTGGTGAAGATTCTAGAAGGAATATTTTCCAAGCTTTTGATATTGCATTAGATAAAATTGGATTTGATCCTCAAGGTTTATCAATATGGTTAGATTATTTAAAATTTATTAATGATTGGAAACCAATAAATTCATGGGATTCACAAACCAAGATGGATTTGAAACGTAAAATTTATCAAAAATTATTAAAATTACCAATCGAGGGGATTGAATTGATTTGGAATGATTATAATAAATTTGAAAATGAATTAAATTCAACAACGGCAAGGAAATTTATAAGTGAATCAAGTTCAGGTTATATGGATTCAAGATCTTTCTTAAAAGAGATTAATAATTTAACCACAGGGCTCCAAAGAAATATTGAAATTCCTACAAAAGCTGATCCACAACAAGTTAAGAAATGGATAAATTGGATTAATTGGGAATTACAGAATAAGATGAATTTAAGTGATGATGATTTATATGTAAGATTAGAATATATCTTGATGAATTCTATCCAAGCACAAAGTTTTAGTATTGAATTATGGTGGAAATTTTTAAATTTTATTCAGTTGAAATATGGTATTAATAATGATAAGATTGATGATGTTATCAAGATGTCATTGGGGGTTTTACCAGGTTGTATAACTATAAATTTTAAGATTTTGGAGATTTATGAATTGAAAAATGAAGTTTCTCTTGTTGGAAATGGTTATGAAAAATTGGTTAAATATTATACTAATGAATTTGAGAAAGTAGAACTTGAAATTGAAGAAGTGAAAGGGGAATTGATAGGAGATGATGAAGAAGAATCAAAACCTGAAGAATTAAAACAAGAATTATTCAAATCAAATAAGGAAATCATCATAAAACAAAAAGAATTGACAAGATTAAGTAAAATTATTACATTAATAAATGTTGAATGGTTTAAATCTATAAAAAGATTACAAGGTATGAAAGAATCAAGAACCATTTTCAGTAAAGCCAGGGCAACAAGAAAGACATTAACACATCATATTTTCCATCAAGTTGCCCTTATGGAATCTAAGATGACCTCGACTAAGACTAGTATAAAAGTTTTTGAATTAGGTCTTAAATCAACATATTTTGGTAATGATGGTGAATATATTTATAAATATTTAAAATATTTAATTGATATTAATGATGATAATAATTTAAAAACTGTTTTTGAAACAACAATAAATTCAAAAGAATTAGATTCAAATTGGATTAAATTAATTTTTAAAATTATGATTAAATATGAATTAAATTTTGGTAATATCCAGAATGTTCAGAAATTAAAGAGCAAATTTAGTGAGAAATTCCCCAATGAAGATGATTTTACAAACTTTATCAAAATATATAATGATGAATTACCATATAATGATGATTTAATTAAATTAGTTGATTTCCCAGAAGAACCAGAAGAGACTAAGAAAAGATCAATTGAAGAAGTTATAGAAGATGAGACTGATAGTAACAAGAGACAACAAACACAATCAACAGAACAACCACAACAACAACAACCATCACAAACAATATCAGATTCTAAACAATTTGTTAGTGATGAAGTTTATAATTTATTAAGAGTATTACCAAATAGTGGTGTTTTCAAAGAAAGATTGGTTGATAATGAAGCATTGATTAAGTTGTTGAGTGAGTAGTGTATAGATATATGGTACATCTTTGAGAATATCATAGTCATATATTAGTAGTCTTTGTTCTCGATTAAATTAGTACTAATTGTATAATCCCGATGACTTTAATATTTATAATTCCGATGGGATTTGATAAGAAATGAGTACAAAAGAATAACAAAATGAAATATTAAGCAAATAAAAACCAAACAATTAATCATTTCCTTCTCTCTTTCAGTTCCTTTATTTCCCAGTTATTATTGCTTACTCCTTCTCACTTTCTTTGAATTCTTTGTTATTACTTTGTGTTCTTCTTGATTTCTCCTCGTTATCTACTTTTCATAAAAAGGTATTCAACCGCGAGCTTATCAATCCGAGTTATTTAAATATAAAGAAATACTCAGCTTTGAATCAACTTATAATAACAAACAATATCCAACATCAAGACAGGCTATTAAGCACAGCTATAAGTACACCATGCTCATCACTACAATGGCCTCTCAACAACCAGTTCAACCTAAAAAAAATTCAAAATCAAGAAATGGTTGTTTAACTTGTAAGAAGAAAAGATTAAAATGTGATGAAACAAAACCTCATTGTTTGAATTGTACTAAAAAAAACATTTCATGTGGTGGTTATTCAACTAATTTTAAATGGAAAAGTTTTGAAGAGACAACTACAAGTCAAAAGATTAAGAAACAAAGAAAATCAAGTATTAGTGATGTAAATAATACTACGGGGAAACCTTCAAAAGAATTATCAAAATCAATGGAAAGAGCAATGTCTGAACCAAATTCAAATATTTTCCAATCTGCTTTACAAAAAGCTTCAATATCAATAGCTGGTAAAACATTCCAAGAATTAGCAAGACAAAATGAATTAATGTCAATGGGGATGAATCCAAATTTAAATTCAAATATTGAAGATCTAAGTACTGGTTCATCAGGTCCTTCATCAAGAAGATCATCACAACCTTACCCTTTGATTAGAACAATGAGTGAAGGTTCCAAACCAAAAGATTTAAACCATCAAGATATATCATTACCAAAATTAGAATTACCTGGTTTACAACCAGGCATACAACATCAAAAAATACCAATTTTACCAAAATTAATGGAATATGATCTTGATCCATTAACAACAAATCAAAATACATCGGCAATAATTGATGATGATGAAGAATTATCCCTTGAAGAAGATCCTAAAAATTTCAAAAGAGCTTCATCAGTTGATTCTATATTCAATTCTGATTCAATTGAAAGCTCCCTAGAATTATTTCAATTTCAAAATGCATTTAAACAATTCCATTTAGACTTACCTGAAAAATTCCTTATAAATACATCACCATCAAATTTTAATCAAGAATTTAATAAAATTTCAACTGCATTTCATAATTTCACATCACCAATAATGACAGTCAAGACATTTTCAGAAAATCCATGGCAAACATACATATGGCCAATGGCTTTGGAACATAGTGTTTTATTTAAAGCTATTGCAGCAATGACAATGGCTCATTTGGGTCGTACAGATCCTGACCTCAAACAACAATCAACGGTTTATATGAAACAAAGTATTAATGAATTAGCTCAAGGTCTTACTAATAATTCAATATCAAATGATGTTGCCTTAGCTACATGTTTTACATTATCAGTTACAGAATCTTGGTATACTCAAATAACAACAGGGATTGCTCATTTAAGAGGTGCAAGATCAATAATACAAAAAGTTTTCAAAGAAGAAGATGTTACTCAATTATCACCAGCTTTCAAATGGTTATGTGCAAGTTTTATTTATCATGATGTTCTTTCCAAATTGGTTAGCTCAACATTAATTGATTCAAATACTTATGATGAAGATTCATTTTTTTTCAAACATTTAAAAACTGTTAAGAATCCTTCTGCAAGAGATTTTTTATTACATCCCGAGGATTTAGAATCACCATCAACTTCAGAATCTATTTATTTTTCAATGGATGATATTGATCCATTATTAGGATGTGCTCGTGATTTATTCTTTATTATAGGTCGTACAGCTACTTTAATAACAAAATTTAAAACTCATAAGAAAACTCTTGAAATGGTTTCAAATGCTGTTCATTATCAAAATGAATTATTAAATTGGAAACCAAATATGCAAAATTTCTCTAAAAATTTAGCATCAGATCCTTATTGTGATTCAAATTCACTTATATCAACAGCTGAATCATATCGTTATGCAACATTGTTATATTTACATCAAGCAATTCCTGAAATTCCATCACAAAGTTCTAAAACTTTGGCAAAGAAGATATTGATGCTCTTAGCTTCAATTCCAACAAATTCCAGGACTGGATTAATTCATATTTTCCCCTTACTTGTGGCATCATGTGAAATGGATGAACCTGAAGATCGCCTTTGGATAGAAAATCGTTGGTCCATTCTATCCAAGATGATGTTATTAGGTAATTTAGATCGTGCTCATGAAATTGTTAAAGAAGTTTGGAAAAGAAAAGATGAAAGAATAAGTATTAGAAGTGGTTCAACAACTCCAAAAATTGAAGTTGGTGGTAATACAAGTGGTGGTTCTGGGGTTAATGATTGGGGGATTGAAAAAAGAATTGAGAATCTGATTGGGGATGATGATGATTTAGAGCAAAAGGGGATTAATTCAAGGACTCATTGGAGTTGTATTATGAAAGAATGGGGGTGGGAAGTGTTGTTAGGTTAAAACTTTCGAAACCTTTTGAAACCTTTAGGTTGAAAAAGTTGTAACACCATTTATTAATATATATGCACTAAACTCATAATAGTCAATGGTATACTGGATATACTATATATTTATATAGACGATAATTTAATATATTTAATTTATATATTTATTGAATAAATTGTATAATTTTAATATTATATAAATTTTATGGTGTATATGTTTTCTTATTGACACTCTTGTCTCATACTTTAAAAATGACAGATAAATTCTGGGGGGAAAATGGGAAATTTTAACCAATTTAAGAAAGAAGATACGCACTTGTTTTTTAAATTTTGGTACTTTCATAAATCAACGGATTGTAAAATAATTGGATTTGATTGGATCTTAATGAAAGTTATATTTTGTTTAGAGATGAATGATGAAACAAAATGATAAAATAAATAAGAAATCAAATAAAAAGTTGAATAAATCAAATAGATTGAAGTTTAAATCAGTTAAACATGAAGTTAATGATCATGAGAAAGATCAAAGAAAGGGGAAAATAATTGATGAATTAGATTTAAATCATAGTGATAGTGATAATGATGAGACTAAATATGATACAAGATCTAATACTTCACCATCACCTTCCAAAGAATCTTTAGATTTAAATTTCATTGAATTTGGTCCTTCAATTAATGGTTATAGATTTATTGGTAATTCATCAACTTCCAATTATTATAATAAAAGCTCTTTCAAACCAATAATTGAAAATAAATCAACATTTGATTGGTCTTATTGTGAATTACCAAAATTTGAGTCAAAACCTGATTATTTAGAATCAAAATATGGAAAAGAAGAGAAAAGTGATTATGATGATTTAATTACTTATTTGAAAAATTGGGAAAGGATTAAATCTCAAGGTTTAAATGAAATTTATTTCCCCCTAGGTGATTCAAATATTAATAAGGATCAATTATTAAATTTTTATAAAAATTTTGAAACTAATCAAATGGGAAAACTTTTAGATTTTATTAAATTTGAAAGGATTAAATGGCATCCTGATAAAATTTCAAGAATTTTAAAACCAAATAATGAATTGAAATTGAAAATTACAAGAATGTTTCAAATTATCAATGAAATTTATGAAGAGTTAAGGTAAATCTTGAATTACATAGGAGTTATTCTAAATACATGCTTTATATTTCTTTATTATACATTACTTTTCTATTGTTCATTATTCATCAGCTGGGGTTTTAACTTCAAGTTGATTATTAATTTGATTATCTTCATCTTTTGGAGTTTTAATTTCTTCCTCTATTGGACCTTGTTCAATTTGTTCTGTTTGTTCACTTGATTGTTCACTTGGTTTTTCATTCTGTATCTTGTCTTTTTCTTCACCTTCTTCTACAGCTTCTTCATCATCATCTTCTTCTTCTTCTTGACCTTCTTCTTGACCTTCTTCTTGTCCATAAGCTTCTTCATCATCTTCAACTAAATCAGCATCAGGTTGTTCAGGTGGGAATTCTTCAACTCCATCATCATTATCCCAAACAATATTAAATCTTGTAACTCTTGGTTTTTCAGCTAAGATATTTCTTGTAACATGTTCAACTTGAACTTTATTTGGTGGATTTTCTCTTAATTCTTCTGAATCATATTCATTATTAACATAATAACCAACTCTAACAAATTCTCTATCTGAATATGAACATGATAACAAGATAACAGTAACTGAAACTAATTCATTTGAAGGAATTAATTCAGCACTTGGTGGATCTGCAGTGAATAAGAATTTATTTATACCAGTTGGAACAGGACCAACTAATATAGAATCTAATTCTTGATCATGTTCTAAAGATCTTGATGATCCAACATATGTTAATTTCCATTCTAAATCATCTTTTAAAGGTTCAAGACATTCAAATGTAATTTCAAATTGATATGGATCAGTGAATTTTGCTGGATTGTTTAAGACGTTGATACCTAATAATGAAACAATTGACATGATTGATGGATGGTGATGGTTGATTGATATCTGGTTCTATAGTATAAAAGTATTAAAAACGCGTTTAAATTTTTCTTTTTGATTTTGGAATTTTTCGCGTATGGGAATTTTGAAACTCTTCGCGAATTGGTTTTATAATATTATTAATTTTAACTAGTAGGAATTTAAATTGAAATTTTAAGAATATATTTGTTAGGAAGTATATAAATTTAAATATATATATATTATTTTTGTAAATCTAAAAATATTACCATTATTTTAAATTTGTGAAATTCATACTTTTGAAAATTTGAAATTTCAGCTAATTTAAGGTTTAAAAGTAAATTTAAAATATTGAGGATACATTTTAATTGGAAATTTGAAAAAACCAAAATTTCAAACTAATAATTTGAATGATCTAAGCCTATAATAATAAAATATGAAAGGAATAGATTATTTTCATACATTAAAAATCATACTTTTCTTATCAAATTAATTCAAAATTATATTAATCATAAATGTTTATTTACCCGAAGCTCGGAAAATTCATTTATCCGATCCTCAAGCTAATATAAAGAGTAATATAAGAATAATTATATTACATATATAATTTTTTAATAACATAATATATATATATATATGCATTCTTCATTCAATTTAGATTTTATGATTTGTGAAGTTGGAAATAATTTCAATAGTAGTATTTCCCTATGATTTTAACGCGGCCTAATAAATCATATTTAGGTACTTCTACATTAAATGGAAAGATCATCATCACCTTGTTATATGTTACAATCCAATAATAAATTTCATTATGAGAGGATAATTAACAACATATAAAAGTGAACCAATTCAAATTGATGTGAAAAAAATTTATTGAATAACAATGATGAATGAATTATTATTAGTTTATGTTTAGTTTAATAAAGAATTGTGAATTTTATCGAAATTTTATGCAATATATATAGAAAAGATTATTATAGGTTTAGCAAAAGTATAAACAATATTAAGACATTTTCAAAGACATCTGATAATTCCTGATTAACATTGGTAATTTTGACATATTGATGTTGATTGTGTGATCTATATGTGTTGACTTGATACCTTCATGGAAGAACTCTTAAATTTCTCCAAAGACCTTATGAAAGATTAATTGAAGGTAATATCAATTCAATAGCTTTAATGTATAGCTACTACTGTTAGCTTGTACAGATACTCTATAGATTCTCTTAACACGAATGTGACATATCAATCTCTGATACTAAAATAAAGCTGATAAATTAGTTGAACTTTTATATGAAACTCGTAATTGATCTCTATCATAATAACATCACGAATATAATGATAATGGATATATAAATATTATAATTCAAGTGATATATGAATACTTATTGATAAATTGAATTTCAATATTTGGTAGCAAGATTGTAGAACTTATTTTCGAATAATCTTAAGCTTAGGAATCAAGTGTATACCAAAATTGCAAAACTCGATGAGTTATAACACTAGATATCTAAAAAAAAAAAGAAGTACAACTGCTTCTGGAGCTATATTACAACAACACTTAGATCTGTTAAATTTAAAGCATTAAGAACCATTATATGGACTTTTATATTTCATAGGTATATAATTTATAAATTTGGTAAAATTATAGGTTTTTATCCTTTAAAGTTGTGCATAACTTCTGAAATGACTGCGTTTATGCACATTATTGCTCAGGAAACTACATATTTATGCCTAAGGGTACCAAATTTATGCATATAACCGCGTTTCTTCAGTTAAATATACAAACCAAACTACTATAAATTATAATACAAATTAAATTTCTTTAAAAATCATAAAACCATCCATATGGCACCAATAATTATACTTAACATTATCAAAGCAGTAATAATAGCAGCTCCTGCTTTATCTCTTCCTGTTATATTTAATTTTTGATGTGCCAAATCAGTTGAATCAGAATCTATACCAGCATTAGGATTCCCTACGGCAACACCTTCATCTTCTTGTGAAAATGGAGCTGGTGATAAAGGTGCAACTAAACTATTAAAAATTTCTAATGCACTCATTTGTTCACCTAATCCATATTTACCATCCCATTCACCAGTTGTCCAATCTAATCCACATGTAACACCATCTGAACCACCTGAACATGATTTAGCTGCAGCTTCTGCTGAACTTTCTAATAATGGTCTAATATCATCATATAATGCAGGAACTAAAACTGATGCCATGGCTAATGATCTTGAAAAAACAGCTTTAAAAGAACGTTGATCATTATTACAATTATCTGGACCTTGACATGCTCTTTCATATAAAATTCCATCATCGAAAAATACACTAGCACCATTAACTAAATGTGATACACGAGCAAACCATTCATCTGATTCAGTATAATTATAAATATATGCAGCACCTGAAACCATTAATCCAAAATTATAAGTCCATTCTAATCTAACAATATTTGAACAATTCCCATCACCAATTTCTGAACCATCATAAACTCTTGTAGTTTCTTCCTCCACAATGAATTCTGAATCAATTAACCATTGATAAACAGTTTCTGCAGTTTCAACATAAGAATCATTACGTGTAAATCTAGCTAATCTTGCAGCCATTTGGAAAAGACATGCTGTACTAACAGTGTTTTTATAATCATAACCTGAATTCCATTCAAAAATTTGCCATCTAAGACCACCACCACAATGTTCAGTATCCCACCTTTCCCACATTGTATTATAAACAGCTTGACTCATACTTAACCAATCTGGTACATCTGAATCTTCATGAGGTGGTGTAAAATTTCTTTCAGCTGCACTCATTACAAAAATCCCCCAAAAACCTTGATCATCATTACCTTCAGTTGTGGATTGATTTTGTGGGATATAATCAAAATTCTTACCAGTTTGAGCCATTAAAGAATCATAAAGTACTTGTTCAACAGATTCATTTTTACCACAATAATACCAATAATCTATAACACCACCCCAAGCATGACCAGCTTGCCACCAATAATACGGAGGTTGAAACATCCCGACAACTCCACCATAATTATCACCATCATAATAATCCATCATCCCTCTATAAACCTGAGAAGATGCTGAACATATTGATTTTTTATCTTGTATATCAATTTCCAATGCGTTAATTAACGTCGTAAAACACAATAAAAGCGGCAGTGGATTGATCTTCATTCTGTATATGGTAATGATTCTTTATTAAGTGATAACCGTGATACTTTTGACACAAACGAATGACTATGACACAACCAAAATGAATAACAGGATTTCAATAGGCTTAATAACCCTTTCAAAATCACAATGGAATCATCAACATATTTATAAAAAATTGATTCTTTAGCTTTTTTTACCTTCAAAATTCATATTTGCAAAAATTCTTGGATCAGTTTACTGGGCGCCAAAAAATCATCATGGCCTTGTTGAACATTGGGACATTGCGGCTGATTAGGCCCAAAAAGGTATCAAATAGTTGGAATAGAAGATATTTTAAATGATGTTTGGCTATGATTATCATTCAACCATCAGAAACGATGTTTAAAGTATTGAAATCCAGTTTTTTTGATTGAATTTGGTGATGTTTTGATAAAAATTAAGGGTTCAATACGTAAACAAACCACGCGCGAAATTTTTAAGGTCTTCACGATTTAAGACAATTTTGTAGGAAACTTATGGGAAGTCTGGGGAAAAGCGTGTTATTTAATGTTTTTGAAGGCTGATGATATTGTCATTGTCCTTTACGTAGTTCATTTGGTATATTTGTAGTTTTCTTTGGATATTATTGAAGCATTTGACAATATTTTGACGGGATGAGACGTAGTACCCGTTCATCAAAATCACAACTACTTACCAATATCAATAATTGTAAATAATATACAATTAAAATAAAATAATATACACGTATAACTGAAAAACAAAGAAAAAAAAACTTTATGAAACAACCTGAGAAGAAAAGAAATGCATAATAATGAATGTAATGTTTATGTGAACCAAACTAATGTACAGAAATGAAATATTGATAATAAGTATTGAAAAGTAATGGAATAAATTCACATAATCATCCAAATAGAACCAATAATCAAGATCAATAAACAAATAGCTGTGACAATTGCAGCACCTGCTCTATCTTTTGTTTCAATTTTCAAATCACTACGATCTAATGATGTAGAATCCGAATCTTTACCAGCATCAACATTACCTTGACCAACACCTTCATTTTCATGATTATAAGGTGCAGGTGATTCTGGTGCTAATAAAGAATTGAAAATTTCTAATGCACACATTTGTTCACCTAACCCATATTTATTATCCCATGAACCTTTAGTCCAATCTAAACCACAAGTAACACCATCTGAACCACCTGAACATGATTTAGCTGCAGCTTCTGCAGATGATTCTAATAAAGGTCTAATTTCATCATATAATGATGGAACTAATCTTGTTGTCATACCTAAAGCTCTTGAAAAAACAGCTTTAAACGAACGTTGATCATTATTACAATTATCTGCTCCTTGACATGCTCTTTCATACATGATATCATCTTTGAAAAAATCTTTTGCACCATTAACTAAAGAAGTTAATTTTTGTAACCAATCATCACTTTCAGTATAATTGTATAAATAAGCAGCACCACCAATTAATAAACCATAATTATAAGACCATTCTAATTTAACAATATCTGAACAATTATTTGAAATATCAGCACCATCATAAACATAAGCTTTATCACCATCAACAACAAATTGAGTATCAATTAACCATTGATAAACAGTTTCTGCAGTTTCAACATAAGAATCATTACCAGTAAATCTTGCTAATCTTGAAGCCATTTGGAAAAGACAAGCATTACTAACTGTATTTTTATGATCATAACCTGAATTCCAAGTAAAAATTTGCCATCTTAACCCACCTGAACAACTATCACTATCCCATCTTTCCCACATTGTATTATAAACAGCTTGACTCATACTTAACCAATCTGGAACATCTTTATCCTTTGGTTCTGTAAAATTTCTTTCAGCTGCACTCATAACAAAAATCCCCCAAAAACCTTGATCATCATTACCTTCTGTAGTTGATTGATTCTTTGGAATGAAATCATTATTATTACCTCTTTGTGCCATTAAAGAAGAATAAAGAACATCTTCAACTGAATCATTTTGACAATAATACCAATAATCTAAAACACCACCCCAGGCATGACCAGCTTCCCACCAATAGTATGGAGCTTGAAACATCCCTACAACACCACCATACTTTTTACCATCATAATAATCAAGCATACCATTAACAACTGTTCCAGCAGCTGAACAAATAGAATCTTGATCATTTATATCTAAATCCAATGCTAAAGTTGTGGAGAATAATAAACATAACGGTAGTAGTAACGAGATCTTCATTTTCAATTATGTAGTATAGATCTCTTTCTGATCTTTATCCTTCTTCAGTCGAAAGATAAATAAAACTGTAGTGAATTCACCAATTCAATCAAAGAAAGGTTGACTTTAAAATCAAACTAATATCAAAGAAAATACGTAAATATTTAATCTAAATTTGTTTTATTTTGTTTTGGAATTTTTCCCTTCCCATTTTCCAAATCAAAAAAAATGTTTTGAAACTTAAATACCAAGAAAGCCCCAAGACCTGCAAAACAGGGACTACACACATCTAGATTATACACAGTAAATTTATCAAGATACTAATAAAATAAACGCTTTCTCTGCATACTTGGCTTTAACTTGGTCTTGTATTTTATATGTCATTTTTTTAACTCTAACCACCCTCTAATAGACCCTTTCTCCATCATCTTCTCCATATATCTAACAGATGATGTGTGTGAATCTGTTGGACCCTTTCAGTAAATCAATAAAAGAAAAGATAATTAGGCTATGTTTCTCTGAAGGGTCTAAGAATCACAAATAGTGGTGTCCTGGTGTTTTGACAGCAGCGCGCATTCTAAAAATAGAATATCAGAATTTGGAGACTATAGTTCCTGAAACCCAAACACCAGACGCGTGAATTTTTATAATGTGAGTCTAGGCTTTAAGAATTTAATATTAGTATTATGTATAGTAGTATTAGCTAGTTATTTTTAATATTTTCTACAAGAGTTTTAAACTAATAAACGAACGTGATATATTGAAGACCTCTTCCCCATCTATAATACAATTAAACTAAAAACTATATGCAATTTTGAACTAAAAACACACTAAACTTGAACGAATGAAGAAAAATTAAATGAAATTAAATTGGGTATATCTTTAATTATGTTTCTTTGGTCCATCTCTATCAGTGACCAATAAGTTTTGAATAATTTCCAATGCACTTAATTGTTCACCTAAACCATATTTACCATCCCAACCATCAATATTCCAGTTTAATCCACATGTAACACCATCTGAACCACCTGAACATGATTGAGCAGCAGCTTCAGCACTTGGTTCAATTAAACCTTTAACAGTTTCAGCAGTATCTGGAATTAATTTAGCTGCAATTGCTAAATATCTTGCATAAATAGCTTTGAAAACTCTTTGATCAGTGTTACAAATATCATAAGTTTGACAAGCTCTTTCATAAAGAACAGTATTATTATAAAGAATTTGTGAACCTGAAATGATTTTTGAAGTACGATCTTTCCATTCTTCATCTTTTGTAACATCATAAAGATATGCAGTACCAGCTAATAAAACACCATAGTTATATGTCCATAAAACTTTTGTAACATCAGTACAATTATCATCTGTATATGAACCATCATAAACTTCAATCCCCCATTCACCTTCATGAGCTAAACCAGAACCTAAAATCCAATTATAAATTTCTTTAGCAGAATCAACATATTTAGTTTCACCAGTTAATCTTGCTAATCTTGCACTCATTTGAAATAAATTTGCATTAGCCACAGTAGCTTTATAATTATAACCACCACGACTTTCTTCATATTGCCATCTAAGACCACCATTACAAGAATCTTCATCCCATCTTTTATAAATTGCATCAAAAACATTTTTGGCTAATTGAGTCCAACTTGGATGACCATCTTGTTCTGGAGATTTGAAACCATTTTCTGCAGCTTCTAAAACAGTAAGACCCCAAGTTGCTTGATCATCATTACCTTCAGTATTTGATTGATTTGTTGGTTGATAATTTTTATCATCACCCATTTGTGAAACAATAGCATTATAAACTAAATTTTCATGAGTATTATCTTCACAAAGATGTTGATATTTAATTAATGAACCAAATGCAACACCATATTCCCACCAATAATATGGTGGTTTGAAACAACCTACTGATCCACCATATTCTGAACCATCATAGTAATGTAAAGCACCTTGAGCGATAGTACTTGCAGCTTTACAAATTGATTTTGAATCTGAAGTATCTAAATCAAGTGCTAATGATTGAATGAATGTTAAAGAACTTATAACTAAATGAGTGAAACGCATTATAAGAACTTGTGAAGGTTATTTTGTGATGTAATGAATGACTATTGACCTTGATCCTATCATTTTGTATGAACTTATTGTTTTCAATAAAAGGGATTCTCATTTGTTTAAATATCATGTTTCAAGATTCATAAAATCACCAAAGTTTGATCAAGATTCAAGATTCAAGGGTACATATAATACGATGATCTTTAATATTCCAAGAATTACTTAAATGAGTTAAAACCATGTTTTCATATGTTTAAATCTGTTTCATAAAGGAACAATCTTTTCTCTTACAGGTTTGAGTGCAAAATGGCCCATGAAAGGCCAAAAAAGTTCTTTGAAGTGTTGCGCAGTTGTTTTGTGATTGATGCTTAAACACGCGTAATTTGTAAAATTTGTAAAACTGAACAGAAAATTTATGAAAATATGAACCTTGGGAGCGTTTCAAATTTACACAGGATCAAATCTACATAGATACTTACTGCGGTTGAAAGATAAGACTTGTTCAACTTACAAGTTCCAAATTCCAAGCCATAGTTTTCATTTGTTGGTTTGACGGTTGTTTCACAATAAGACAGTAAGAAGTGAACCTAACCTTTTAAGGCTTCTAAGTTCTTCGGTATTCACAATAGCAAATCTTTTGAACAAAGAGTTGATCTTGAATCCATATAGGCTATTGGTTTCAAGTTTCAAGTTTCAACAATCAATTGTTTGGAAGTTTAAACGGATACTACACCTCAAAATTTTAATTATGTTTGTTTATGTAAGGAGAGCTGATTTATGATGTACCTTTCTTAAATCCAACTTCAAGGATCAAATCATCAAAGCTCAAATACCAACAACAAAATGATTACCGATAACTTACAAACGTTTGAAGGTGAATATTTCATCTGAGATTTGAAATTAGTATACATGAATCAAGATTAGCGTGCGTTATGAACTCAGAACCGTTGTTTGTTTTCTCTTTTTCATTATACTCTGTATCTACTATCGTGTCAACCCAGTAGATGTTTATTATCTTCTCAGTACAAGATATCTTACTGCTCACTACGTTTACTTCTGGTATACCAGACACCTCCTTTCTTTATATTAGAAGCATCACATCGGTTACCTTGGTGAAGATTTATACCCACCTGTTCCTTCAAGATTCCTAATTAAGTTAAACCGTTTGATTTACAGCGGTGTCAAAAGAAATTTTTTTTCAGCTCCTTATTCTAGATTTAATGAATCTTGGAAAATCGTGTATACATATACAACATGAAATCAGATCTCAAGATTAATTAACAAAGATTGACTGTACTTTAATATACTCAGAGGTGTTGTGATCCATGAGTAAAGTTGCAATACGTTTGGCATTTTGAATCTCATGAAGAGAATCAAGGTTCATTATCATCGGTATCAATGATCCCTATTAATTTGTTTAGATATATACAAATGTGCAATAGATCTGATCAATTTTAACTTCTGAGCCACAAATTATACAAATCATATATGGTAAAGTACGTATAGACCCAATTTTGTACCACAGAATCAAGGAATACTATTAATGATCCACCTTCAAATTCATATGAAGAGTACTATATATGATTGTTGATCTTCATTTGAATCCCGAGTAGAAGCAAAGGTCATAAAGCGTAATAGGTTAAATACTAGTAAAAAAGGTGGAACTATAAGTTACTTGAGGGAAGGTTTAACTGAGTTTATCGATATTGCTCAAACTCTGACTTGACGATTCATTCGTCAATCAGCCTTGTTGTACGCTGTTCTTGTTGATATGCGACAGATGTTAAAATATTATGCATTCAATTTAGATAAGGAAACATGTTTACCTCCTACATGTATAACAAATTTCGGATTTATAACATACATTAAGCAGCAATACTACGATAATCGATTTCCTCAAGGCTCGAATTGATGTTTAATTGATTTCTTTTATTTACTCATCTAGTCCAATGATCTTTGAAATCTGATCAAAGTTATTAACAACAAATCTTTTCTCATCCAATTTGATAACTTTGTCATGGATAGAATTTGTTGTTTGAAGAGTTGTATTCAATTTAATTTTAGCTAAAGATTCATCATCTTTTTTATTTATTAATTCTTCAAATTGGTTTTGACGATCTATTAAAATACTTTTCCATCCAGCTTTTCCAGAAGCTTCAAGATCATTTTCTAATTCATCACCAATATGCCAAATTGATTCAAATATTTCTTCTCTTGATGAATTTTGTAAAACTTCAACATTTTTCATTAGATCATCTAATATATATTCAAAAAATTCTTTATTTGGTTTAGATACTTCAATATCATATGAAAGATAAACTTTATGGAAATGTTGCAATATATCAAGACTTTTCAAAATTTCAATAACTCTTGGATCACCATTACTTGAAGCAATAAATAAAACATCATCTCTTTGTGAATACTTGGAAAGAAATTTTGAAACATCATCATATCCAGAATATCCTAAATCACTTGAAAAATATTTCATCAATTCATTAATGTAATCTTGAGATATAGTTTTTGGATGATATAAGTTTATCAATAATTTTGACCACCATTCTTCATAGTTTAAATTTTGTGCTTTCCCATAGTTTGGATATCAAGATCTTAATTCTTTATAAGCTATATATAACGTAAATCAATTAGTTTCTTGTCTTCACCTTTTGTCTAATCAATTTGAATATACTCACCTTTTGGAAACTTTTGTGATAATTGATCCTCTGATAAGTCTAAACCATATTTTAACCCAATTTCAGCATATTGTTTCATTACTGATAATCTAGGGACAAATAATGTATTATAAGCATCAATTGATATGATTTTGAGAGGCCTTGACATATTTTTGAAATGGACTTTAATGTTCCAATGTTCCAATGCGTTTAAATTTGTTTCTGGCCTTACGTATCAGCTATAACTTTAACAGATTGAAAAGATTATTCGAAAGGTTATCTATGGTCCTTTATAATTGAATTTGACCAAATGACTCAAGACTGTAATTGACAATGGTGATTTGTTCCAAATTCAAGTTTATGCTCTTAACTTTTAAATATATGCACTTAAAAATATACTTAGGCCATCAGATACTCACAGATTATGTCATTTCTTAGTCAAAATCATACCAAAATGACTTTTTTATAAGGATAAAACAACTGGTATATCAAACGACAAAATACTGGTTAGTTTTTGATTAAATTTGATTTAAATGTAGTTTTTAAAAGATTAAATAGACATATTGTGTTTGTGTCTTCCAAAATACCATATTATTACCCAATTAGGAAATCAAGGATATTTCGGTAACTGTTTTTTTTTTTTTTAATTCTCTCAGTGATTTTTTGATCTGAGAATTGAAAATACTATTGTTTACTCAAAAAAAAAGTATATTAATTGAGTATATTTTTGGTATATTTTGTGTTTCTTTATTGGTTATTTTCAGTGATTGAAATCAGTTGAAGTGTTTGCTATGAAGTTGCTTTATACCATTGCATTGGCCATGGGGGCTAGTGCTGCTATTATTGAATCAATATCAATCCCAACAGTGACCCCAGCTCCAAAATTAAATAAACGTTATAAGAAAGTTAGAGTACCTGATTCAACAACAAGTTCATCAACTACAGAGATCCCAAAACCATGGGTTCGTACCATATATTCATCTGTTAGAGAAATTGTTACACCAACTGTGATAGAAGGTGTTACATTTAGTGGTAAACCTTCTACTGAAACTGATAAAGCTTTACCTTGGATTTCATTAAATGGTGATGGTTCTCCAAAAACTATAAAACCACAAATTAAAAATGGTCAAACTAAAAAAGCTTCACCAGATTATTCAACTTATTTCCAAACTGCCACTACGGTGACATATAATTATGAAGATTTAAAAGCTCATAATATGGATCCTGATACTATTCATGAAGAAGTTGAATGGATCCCAGAAGATCAAACTTATGTTTCATTAAATCCATTGATTAGATGTACACCTGATCGTTATTATAAAAAAGGTCTAGCTAAAAATATTGAAAGTGCACCATTTTGTACTCCAAAAGAAGGTTCACAATTAAAATTAGGTAAAACTTATTTTATAACTTGGTTTTCAAGATTTTATCCAAATTCAGTGGAAAAAGTTCGTATTCATTTAAGTTATGTTAAAGAATCAATTAGAGATAAAGGTATGCATAAAAGAGATGTTGAATCTGCATTTTTCACTTCTGAATGGATTGAAAATATAGATGGTTATTATCCTTTAGAAATTCAAGAAGATTGGTTATTAGGTAAATTTGAACAACAAGTTGGTATTTCAATTCAACCAGAATCTATTCCAGATGATGAATTTAATTTATTAAAAGATGCAACTGTTTTTAAAATTCTAAAAGGTCCAAAAGTTGCTAAGAAAAATAAAGAAACAAGAAAATTAGAAGATGAAGGTATTTCTGATGATTCAGCTTATTATATAATGATGTCAATTCCATCAGTTGTAGCAGTTGCTGCAATTGGGATGTATATTTTCGTTTGGATTACTGGTAATGATCGTGATATTACCAAGATTAAACAAAAAGCTTTATCTAAAAGACGTGGTATATTGGGGAAATTTAAAGGTAATAAAAATAATAGAAAATATTCAGAATTACCACAAAATAAAGATGATATTAAAACATCATGAAAATTTGAAAATATAATTTGCATTTAATTTATTAATATAGAATATACCCATATATTGAGTTTTTTTAGCTTTTTTTTGCCAATTTGTAACCAGATGATATGATCACAATTTGGCCATTGAGTTATTGAAGTTTTTAGGATATTCTAATTACATTCATAATCTACTGGGCCTATATTAACCAAATGATCTACCGAAGACATGTACATCTAAGATTAGTGAGTTTTAACATGACAGATACGGATCATACAATCAATAACTTTAAGTATTAAACATTATATTATTCTCTATATTCTATTAAAGGATTACTATTTAATCATGATTAGATCGAAATGATAAGACTGTTTGACTTGTACCAACTCTTTTCAATTGATCTTGATATCTTTGATCTGATATTGATGATGATGCATGATTATTATCATATGAATAACTTGGTCTCTTATTATTATAATTATTATTAGTTGTGAATGGATCTAAATAACTAACACTTGTACTACCATGACGAGGTTGTTGTGATGATTTGGGTAATGATAATTTTGAATAAAAATCAATAGTTGTAGAATTTAATCCATTACCTGTTGTTGATCTTGAAATTTCAGATTCACTATATCTTCTTGTATCAATAGGTTCAATTTCTGTTTCACCCATATTAAATCTAACTAATTTAACAAAATCAATACATAATTGCATGAATTTTATAAAATCTTGTTCATTAATTAAATTTCCAGAATATCTTAAAGTTTCATAAAGTTCAGCATAATCTCTATTTAATTTTAAATCTGTTGCAACTCCTTGATTCTCAAGATATGAAATAATTTCTCTAAAACTTGAATTTTTAGGGACTTTTGTTTCAGTACCCATTAAAAACCCATCATATTTAAATTTATCACCAACTGCACGAACAACATCATCAAAACTTAATGATGGAGGTAATAATTCAGATTTTGGACCTGATAATCCAGGATGTTTAACATCTTCATTTGTATCAAGACCCATAGATCTTATTTTTTCACATTTAGCAAAATTTTCATTAATCATAACATCACATTCTTTTGGTAAATCACCATCATCTAATGGAACATAACGTTTAGGTATATCTTGTAATGAAGATTTTTGTATATAAATTCTTGAAATTGTAAGAATAATAGCTGTCACACCAAATAAAACCAATGCACCGGCAACAACGAATGTATTCAAAGCATAATTTGATGATTTAGAAGCTTGAACAATAGTATCAATTGGTATAACTGAACAAAATCCAATGAAAAACACAATAAAGAATATTAAAGATGTTTTATATGACCAATTCCTTAATGTGGAAGAGGCCATGCTTGTGTTATACTTTCTCTTTTGAAATTATTGATAAGAAGTATTGTATGTTCTTTAAATGTCATATAATCAGCATCACCAAGCACTTTGTTTTCTCAGTTTAATAAACAGCTTTAAAATGGGAAGTTGTTATCTTTCTTTTACCTTTAAACTCTCGAGAAGTTGTATGAAATTCAAAAAATGTTTATTTATATTTTTTTGTTAGAAGCCACAAAGAAAAACCAGAAAAAACTTATTCAAGGATGAAATACTTTTAGTTTCTTCTTTGGGAAGTCTAGAAAATGAGACGCGAAAAAGGAAAAATACGCGTTTTTTTAATTTGTATAATGAATTTATTTTGTTTACAAAATTATCAAATTGAAGGCAAAAATCGAAGACAAGTATAATTGTTCATATTGGTGATTGGTAAGAATGTCACAAGAAAGAGAGACTTCGAGGTTTTTCGACACTTCAATGGAATCATCCACCACACAGGTCAAATCTGAACCGCTAGATCCAATAGAACATCATCATGATTTTATAAGGCAAAATAGTATATTGAAAGAATCAAGTAATGCTGCAAATAGTATGAGCTCGCCAGTAACGGATAAATCAACCACAGCTCCTGATACCACAGCTACGGATGGAAATGTTAAACTGGGTACTGGCCAAAACCTGTTTGTTGCTAATGATGAAGATGATGAAGATGTTAATGAAGAAGATGATGCTTATATGATTTTTGAATCTCAACTTCAGGCAATTATACAAGGTATTAGTCCCCCAGAAGTACAAAAGTTATTTGAAACACACAAGGATAAAGAAACACCTGTGATATCTGCTGTGAATGCTTATTATGATGGTATTGTATTTGATCCTTCACCTCCAAAGCAACCTACTACATCATCACCTTTACGTTCATCACCAAATTATTCACAATCTTCAACACAACCAAGTATATTTTCATCATTAGGATCTAGATCTACACAGGGAACAGCTACAAAGAGAAGGAAACCAAGTTATAACATACAACAAAAGGAATTATCACCAACTATAAGTTGGAGAAGATTTATTGGTAGTTTACAAGTTGTTGGATGGGCAACGAGACCAACTGTTAGACCAATACCTTATGGTACACAATTAACAATTGCTAAGAATACAACACAGAATACAAATAAAAAAAGAAGAGTTGGTAGTGGGTCAGCATCTACCGTATCATATATTAAATTAGTTCAAGATTATAATGACCCGTCAAGAGCTAAAGAAATTGGTAGAGTCCCAGAAGATATTGCAGCCATATTGTTCCCACTTGTTGATCAAGATATTTGTGATTTTGATGTTACTGTTGTCTTATGTGATGGGAGATTAAGTACTGGTGATTCATTTATTGTTCAATTAGATTGTTATTTAACTTCTAAAATATTTGAAAAATGGGCAGATCAAGCTTCTTTTGAAGAAGGTTTGAAACAATTGAAACAAAAACAACATAGTTTCAACAATGTTCAATTTGAAAGTGAAGCTGAAAAAGCTATACGACAAAGACAGGTTGGATTGTTTAAACTGTTTAATAAATTGGATTATCAAGTTAGAACTGCAGATGGTGCTAATGATGATGATGAAGAAGATGAAGTTATTGATCTAGAAGATGAAGAAAGTTCAGATAACATTCAACCAACACAATATCCAGATCAAAAACCTGCCGATGAATTAAATTTAAATCAATTGAAAGAATTTTATAGAATAACTCAAACTTCAGATGTTTTAGCAACTTTACCAGAAACTGAAACTTTTGATAATTTTAAATTTGAATTAAGACCTTATCAAAAACAAGGTTTAACATGGATGTTACGTGGTGAACGTGAAATTGTTAATGATCAACAAGATGAACAAATGAATCCATTATGGAAAGAATTTAAATGGCCCAAGGATAGATCATGGGCAGTTATGAGAAATGAAGATTTAAGGAAAAATTATGATCAAAAATGCTTTTATGCAAATTTATATTCAGGTGAATTTTCATTAGAAAAACCAATATTGAAAACTTTATGTCGTGGTGGTATATTAGCTGATGAAATGGGTCTTGGTAAAACAGTTTCTACATTAGCTTTAGTTCATAATGCTCCATTTGATAAAGATTATGATGCATCATTAGCTATAAAGGAAAGATATGCTTTCAAGACAACTTTAATTGTGGTACCAACTTCTTTATTATCTCAATGGCAAGATGAATTTTTAAAAGCTAATAATACAGATTCTAAAATTATAATTTATTATGGTACAGAATCTGGTAAAGATTTAAAAAATGAATTATGTGGTGAAAATCCACCAATGGTTGTATTAACAACTTATGGTACAATTCAACATGAATGGTCAAAATTAGTGTCATATGTTAAAGTTGAAGGTGGTGAATTACCAAAATTAGGTTTATTTTCTGTTAGATTTTTCAGAGTTGTATTAGATGAAGGTCATAATATTAGAAATAGAATGGCCAAAACTACAAAAGCTTGTTATGATTTACAAAGTTCAAGAAAATGGTTATTAACAGGTACACCTATCGTTAATAGATTAGATGATTTATTTGCCTTAATAAAATTTTTAGAATTACAACCATGGTCAAATATTTCATATTGGAAAACTTTCGTTACAGTTCCATTTGAAATTAAAAATTATAAACAAGCTCTTGATGTTGTTCAATCTATATTAGAACCAATTTTATTAAGAAGAACCAAGAATATGAAAAAAGATGGTAAGGCATTAGTGGAATTACCACCAAAGGAAGTTGTTATTGAAAGAATTAAATTCAGTCCAAAGGAAAAAGCTCTTTATGATTGGTTTTTAGCAAGAGCTTCATCCTCAGTTCGTGCAAGTATTGCAAAAGGTGATCTTTTGAAAAGATATACAACAATTTTAGTTCATATTTTAAGATTAAGACAAATTTGTTGTCATATGGATTTAATTAATGGTGGTTCAGATGAAATGGATGAAGATTTATCATCAAAACAAGTGACAAATATTGATATTCCCGATGATTTGAAAAAAATGACTGAAACTTTTAATCCAAGAGATGTTGGTGAAATTTTCAATAATATTTATAAAAAATTTGAAAATATTGAAGATTTAGAATGTTCAATTTGTACAAATCAACCAATTCCAACAGATCAATTATCATTCACTGAATGTGGTCATCCATTTTGTATATCATGTATTTTAGAACATTGTGATTATCAAGAGATGAAAGGTAATGAAACTTTATGTCCAAATTGCAGACATCAAATTTCAAGTTCAAAATTAGTTAAAGCTAGGAAAAATGAATTATCAATAACTAAAAATAAATTTGAATTATCAGTTTTCGATAATTCTTTAAAATCATCAAAATTAAATGCATTATTAACTCATTTAAGAATTATTAGAGATCAAACAGCTAATGAAAAAGTTGTTGTTTTTTCACAATTTTCAACATTTTTGGATATAATGGAAAGAGAATTACAATTAGAAAAGGGGTTAACAGTTTTTAAATTTGATGGTAGATTAAGTTTAAATAGTAGATCAAATATCTTGAAAGAATTTAAAGAACCAAGACAAGGTGTTACAGTGTTATTATTATCATTAAAAGCTGGTGGTGTTGGATTAAATTTAACACATGCTTCAAGAGCTTTTATGTGTGATCCATGGTGGTCACCTAGTATCGAAGATCAAGCTATTGATCGTATTCATAGAATTGGACAAGAAAGTAATGTTAAAGTTGTTAGATTTATTATGGAGGGAAGTATTGAAGAAAAAATGTTGAAAATCCAAGAACGTAAAAGAACAATTGGTGAAGCTGTTGAAGCTGAAGAAGAAGAAAGAAGAAGAAGAAGAGTTGAAGAAATTGAGACATTGTTTGAAGCTACATAGAATGTTTGTTTTCATACAAGTGATTGTCCATTTTTTTCCAAAGTTGTATATATATAGATGAACGTTATAATAATGAATTTTCATTCAAGTAGAAGTCCACCTTTTTTAAGTAATGGTTCAAAACTAACTTTATTTTTCTTTGCCCAATCTTCCAAAATTTTCTTTTTAATATAAATTATTTGATCCTTCATTACTAAAACTTTCATATGTTTTAAAGTCATTACAACATCATCTTGCCGTATTCCAGTAATTTTACTAACTTCATCTAATGTAACAGTTTCATTATTTGATAATTTCCCATGTACAAATTCTCTTGTTAAAATTGATGTCCAATATTTTAAATAACCTATAAGACCAAAAGGTGATAATGGTTTTTCTGGACCTGATATTAAATTTTGAGATTTTGATAATTCATATGAAAATGAAATTAATAATGTACCTAAGTGCATTCTTTGATATGGTGGGAACACCAAGATACATGCTAAATTGTTTTTATCCCATGAAAGTAACTCTTTAGAGAAAAATCCCATTGGTTTATTATTTTGTGATCCATAAACAATATAAAATTCAAAATAATCCACAGTGAAAAATACTGATTTATTATCTAAAAATAATTTAGTGAAAAGACATAGATTCTGTGTGAAAAGTTTATGATGTGATCCTCTAACTTTCCTAATGCAATATTTCTCATCTTTATACATGATTTTACCCAATTGTTTATTTTCATATTCACATGATTGTACATGATCATCAAATTCTTGTTTAACATCGGTATATTTGAAGCATGAATCACAAATAAACAGCTTTTCTAGCCAAATATCATCCTTATTAACATCTGATTTCTTTCTCCCAGCACCACCACCAGCACCTCCAGTAGGATTGTATTTGTACCCCAGTGTAGACTTGTCTTTAGCAAAATACACTGCACTCCCATACCAGGTGTTCAATTCGTACTCTCCGAAGCGAATTCTCGAGATATTGGGCGACTCTATGATCCCGTAGAGCCCATCTTCAACATCCAACTTGTGCGACATGGCCTTGAAACCCGAATACCCTCCAAGCAACAACCTCTTCTTTCCACTGACAATCGTCTAATTAGCCCAGTTCTAGTCTGACTTCAAAGCTGTTCAAACCCTTTTCGGTGATGAATATTGAATTCGTGAAGCTTTTGATTTTGCTTATTAAGCAGATTAAGAAAAAAAAAAATTTACCTCATCGCATATAAACAAAAAAAATTATTGCAAAACAATAAAATAAACAAAGATATTGGAAATTTAGGAGAACCCAGTGGTCAAGATGGGTAAATACAGAAAGAGATTCAACGAGAAGGCCCGTCAGGGTATGCTCATCAAACAAAATGAGCTGCGTAAGGTTAGACAGAAGCAGTTTACTCGTCATTTAGATGATGGTACAGGTAATGGGGAAGATCAAGATACAACACCAACAACTCAAGAACCAGAGAATACAAATGCTGAAATCTTTCAACCAATGTCTAAAGAGGAAAGAGAAGCTAAGAAGAGAAAGCTAGAGGAACAAGTGAGGCCTAAAGAAGAATCCAAAATTTCAAGAGCTAAGAAGAAGAGATTAGATAAATATATTGAACATCAATTGAAAAGGGAAGAAAAACAAGTATTGATTGAAAAACTTCAAGAATCTAAATTTGATACTTCATTATTGAAAAGTTCAAAACTTTTAGGTACTGGTAGACAAACCAAAAGAGAAGATTTTGCTGAAGCTTTAGAATTAGAAAGACAAGGTAGAGGTGATGAAAGAACTAAAGAGATCTTATATGAAGAACGTCAAGTTAGAGATTGGGATGAAGATCATAAAGATGAACCACAACTGCAGCAACAAGAAGCTCAATATGATGATCAAATTGATCAAGATTCAGATGATAATAATGATGATGATGATGGTGAAGATAAGTTTGGTTCATTTGGTGGTGAAACTTCTTCATTTATTGATCTTAGACCAACTTCACTTGGTGGTACAGGTACTGGATTTTCTTTCCAAAACATTCCAAAAGTTAAAAAGAAAATTAAGAAAAGTTATAATTGGAGAGCTAAATTAGAAGCTGAAGATAGAAGAAAACATAAAATCGAAGATGAACAAGATTTTGAAAGTGATAGTGATGATGAAGAAGAAGATCAAGATGAAGATGAAGAAAAAGTTGATGAATCTGATGAAGAAGAACAAGAGTCTAATGAGGAGGAAGTTGATGATAATGAGGAAATTGATGATGATGAAGAAGTAGAAGATGGTGAAGAAGACGATGAAGAAGAAGATGATGACGAAGAAGACTCAGAAGAAGACTCAGAAGAAGATGAAGATCCAGAAGATGAAGAACGTAAGAAATTTACACATAGTTCCAGAGCTGAAGCTTTCAAAGAATGGGCTGATCAACAGATAAGGAAATTAGAAGGTCGTGAAGCTCCAAGTGCTCCATCATTACCAAATGTTCATTATGAAAGAGTTGATCGTCCAGAAGATCTTGAAGATGATTTAAAAGAAGAATTCATTCCAGTTGATGAATCAAGTAAAAGACAAGCATTTTACGTTAATGTGGAAAGACCTGATGAAATTCAAAAAATTAGAATGCAATTACCTGTTTTCGGTGAAGAACATCGAATTATGGAAGCTATTCATCATAATGATGTTGTTATTATTTGTGGTGAAACTGGTTCAGGTAAAACTACTCAAGTTCCTCAATTCTTATATGAATCCGGTTATGGTACTCAATCAAGTCCAGATACCCCAGGTATGATTGGTATTACACAACCAAGAAGAGTTGCTGCTGTTTCTATGGCTGAACGTGTCTCAAATGAATTGGGTAATCATGGTGATAAAGTTGGTTATCAAATTAGATTTGATTCAACAACTAAACCAGATACAAGAATGAAATTTATGACTGATGGTGTTTTATTACGTGAAATGATGACTGATTTTATCTTAAACAAATATTCTTCAATTATTATTGATGAAGCTCATGAACGTAATATTAATACTGATATTTTAATTGGTATGTTGAGTAGAGTTGTTAAATTACGTGCTCAATTAAATGCTAAAGAACCTTTAAAATATAAAAAATTAAAATTAATAATCATGTCTGCTACATTAAGAGTTTCAGATTTTAGTGAAAACCCAGTATTATTTGATGCTCCACCACCAATTTTAAAAGTTGAAGCACGTCAATATCCTGTTTCAATTCATTTCAATAGAAGAACTTCATTTAATTATATTGAGGAAGTTGTTAGAAAAACTTGTAAAATTCATAAAAGATTACCACCAGGTGGTATTTTAATCTTTTTAACTGGTCAAAGTGAAATTACAAGTGTTGTTAAGAAATTGAAAAAAGAATTCCCATTCAAGAATAAAAAACAACAAAAGCAAGTTCAAAAAGAAAATTATGATGATGAAGAAGTGGCAAATGTTCGTATAAATTCTAAACAAGCAGCTACAGAAGCTGAAGAAGTTGATTTTAGTGTTAAAGTTAAAGAAAATGAAGAATTTGATGATGATTATGATGGAAATGATGATGATGATTATGAAGGTGAAGAAGAAGGTTTTGAAGAAACTTTAGAAGAAGGTCAAACAGATCAAGATCCACTTTATGTCTTACCTTTATATTCATTATTACCAACAAAAGAACAAATGAAAGTTTTCAAAGAACCACCAGCAGGAAGTCGTCTTTGTATTGTTGCTACAAATGTTGCAGAAACTTCTTTAACAATTCCTGGTATAAGGTATGTTGTTGATGCTGGTAGATCAAAAGAACGTCATTTTGATGATAAAACTGGTGTTCAAAGTTTTGAAGTTGATTGGGTTAGTAAAGCAAGTGCTGGTCAAAGAGCTGGTAGAGCTGGTCGTACAGGTCCAGGTCATTGTTATAGATTATATTCTTCAGCTGTTTTTGAAAGAGATTTCCAACAATTTTCTAAACCTGAGATTTTACGTATGCCAATTGAAAGTGTTGTTTTATCAATGAAAAGTATGGGTATAGATAATGTTGTTAATTTCCCATTCCCAACTCCACCTGAAAGAATTGCATTAAGTAAAGCTGAAAAATTATTACAATTTTTAGGTGCATTAACAAAAGAAAATCAAATTACAGATTTAGGTAAAAATATGAGTTATTTCCCAATGAGTCCAAGATTTGCTAAAATGCTTATAGTGGGTAATCAACAAAATTGTTTACCATATGTTGTGTCTATTGTTTCTGCATTATCAGTTGGTGATCCTTTTATTAATGAAATGGAATTGGGTATTAATGAAACAATTCAAAATGATAATGATGAAGATCAAAATCAAGAACAAGAATCAATAGAGGAATTAGAAGCTAAACGTAAATTACGCTCAAAATTCCATTCATCAAGAACTATTTTTTGTAAATTGGATAAATATAGTGATGTTTTAAAATTATTAAGTGCAGTTTGTGCATTTGATCATGTTCCAACTATTAAAAAAGATGAATTTTTAAGAAATCATTTCCTTAGACCAAAACCAATGGAGGAAATTTCCAAATTGAGAAAACAAGTGATGTATATTGTTAAATCAATCACCACTAAGGAAAGTATTGCAGCTTCAGTTACTGAAAAAGAATTGAAATTAGGAGTTCCAAGTAAAATTCAAGTTCAAGTATTGAAACAAATGGTATCTGCTGGGTTTGTTGATCAAATTGCTATAAGGGCTGATTTAATAGATACAGACGTTAAAATCACCAATAGAACAAACATTATCAATATTCCATATGCTACATTATTTCCTACAAAAAGTGATGAAGAAAATGCTAGTCCATATGTTTCCATCCATCCTTCATCAATAATTTGTAATGCTGGAGAAGTTCCACCATCATATTTAGTTTATCAATCAGTTAATGTTGGTGCAAATAATAAACCAGATTCTAAAATACTACCAAAATCAAGATTAAGAGCTTTAACTGACATTACTGGTAAACCATTATCAAACATCGCCAAAAACAGTGGATTAATAACCTACTCTAAACCATTAGGTCATCCATATGCTCCAAAGAATATCACATCTACAAAAAGAGAATGTTATGTTGTTCCAAGATTTGGTGCTGCTATTGGTGCTGGTGGTATTGGATGGGATTTACCACCAATCAAAGTCATACAAAACAAAATAGCTGGTCAATGGATCAATGAATAAAAAGTATAGAAATACCCGTATAAACCTGTAATATAGAATGCATATAAAATTATGTACACATTAACATTTTGTGTATTTTGCTTTGTATTGTCTCTTGTTATTTCCCGATTAGGAAGTCAACAAAACCCGCGAATTATTGAATTTTTTGGTGATGAAAATCAAAAAATTGAAAAAGTAAACACAAGTTTTTTGTTATGGAAAGTGACAAAAGTTTTGGCGTCGTGAAAGCTGAGAAAGAAGTGATTTGACAGGATCAGAACTGCTCAGATTATAAAGATATTGTGATTCACCGGGACAAGAACAGGGGATTGTGTGATTGGGAAAATGAGCTTTACAGATAGTGAGTGTCAATTCAATTGAGTAAAGGGATGGGACTATGTGTACTAACAAAAAATCTCTAGTAAAACCATCACAGAATAATGACATATTCAATGAGTTTATAGATCAAGTTATAACGGTTTTGAAAGCGTATGTGTGTTTTGAGTTATATCTTGATGATATATGACATAAATACTAACAATTTGCTCTTAGTGCTGATACTAAAATAAAAGTATTGGAAGCTCAAATTCCTATAGAGTTTGAAGAATCAAATCCTGCTCAAATAAGTGAATCTTATCATGCATTAGTTGATGATCTCGGGACTTATAAATCAAATTCTATACTTGATAGATACAATGACAAACATTACAAGACAATATATTCATTATATCATGATATAAGATTATCAGCTTATATCTTGCTTTTACATCAAGAAATTGGTAGTGATTATTATATTGATGTTGATAGATTTTATAAATTTGCAACTGAATTCTTATTAAGAGAAAGTTATAGATTAAGTATACAGATACAGGAATTAGAAGAAGCTAAAAATCGTCAATCTAAGGAAACTCCACCATCAGAATTTGAAACAGTATTATCTCAAGATTTTATTAAAATTTCAACATCTTATTCATTAGGAAATGGTGAATCATTTTTTGTAATGACTCAAAACAATGTTCCATTATTTTCATCATTAAATCAACGTTCTTCATTAGATGAACGTGAAATTTTACCACCTGAAGCCTTTTCAACAACAATTGTTGTACCACAAACAATATCAACACCTGCAACAAATTTAGGATTTTTAGCACCACAAGTTGGTCGTATTCCTCCACCAACATTACCACCAACAGAAATCCTGAGTAGATTTTTACATCCAAATTGGTATTCACTGCCTACTGCTAAATGGTTAGATAATAGTGATTTACAAAGTTTTGCACCAGTTGTTGATGAACAAAATACAGTGGTTACTTCAGAAGATAGAGGACGTTTATGGCTTGAACAAATTGGATATACAAAATTATTTGATAAATCTGTTTTTGAATCTAAAATTAAAGATGAATCAAAAGATGAATCAAAAGAATCAAATGATATTGAAGTTCCAGATGCTTCAAAAGATATTATTACACCACCAACTTCAAAAAGTCAAGATGATGATGAAAATCATACTATAAGTCTTGATAATTTATATGAATGGGCACCAGGTAATGAAATTGATGATGATGTGATAGAAGCTTTTGAAAAAGGTGAAGAATCAAAATTAGTTGATGATTTATTAAATCAATTGAATCTTTTAAGAAATAATAGATTAATTTCAAATATTGAATATACTGAACCAACAGAACAAGAGAAAAAATTATATTATAAGACAAATTTACTATTGAGAGAAATTGTTTTAAGTACAGGTAAAGTACCAGATATTAAACCATCTCCATTATTACCTGTTTTACAAACAAATTATAGTGGTACATTACCAGTTCCTACTCAAAATTTGAATTCTAAAAAGAAGAATAAATCAAGAAGATAAAAATAATGAAACATCAACATCCATAAAGATTGATACAACTTCAATGTATAATTATAAATTTCTATGTACTCTAATAATTCATGACTTTTTTGTTAAAAAATGTATGTGGACTTTATCCCACTTCAAAAATGAACATCTTTACCACGAGCAAATGATATTATTAAGAAAATATTGAAAAATCCAATAGTTGCCCATGTTAAAATTGCAAAAAAACTTAACCATTTACCATTTGTAAAATCCACTGTATTTTTATTTAATAATGGATCATTAGTTGATTCTGATGTTTCAGTTGAACCATAATTTGAACCTTCAATAGATCCAATAATTCTATTTTCACCTTGTTGATCATCAATTTCAACTTGCATATATTGTTTAACACTTGTAAAATAAATTAAAGGAGCAGAAACAAATGGTAAAATTAATGATAAACAAACTTGACTACCATTTAAAATATCTGCTATACCTTTTCTACCCATTGTTGAAACAACAAATATACAAGGTAATATAGCTAATAATCTTGTTATAATTCTTCTAACCCAAGGTTTAAAACTCCATTCTATAAAACCTTCAGAAACTATTTGTCCAGACATTGTACCTATTATACCTGCACTTTGACCACTGAAAAGCATTGCTAGTGCAAATATTAATCCAGCAGTTGGTGAAATATATTTTGAAAGCATTTCATAAATTGACATTAAATCTGCATCATCTGCATCTGGTTGACCATAAAGTGTAGCACCTGCAACAATTAAAATTGCAGAATTAACAAATGTTGCAATGAAAAATAATGATATAATTAATTCAGCGTAAGAATATTTTAAACAATAATTTATTGCACTTAATGAAGGTTTATGTTGATCCACACTTTTATGATTTTCATGTTTAATATCATAATCTATTAATCTTGATTGAACTAATGAAGAACCTAAATATAATGAATGTGGCATAACAGTAGCACCAAGGATCCCCAATGCTAAATAAAGACCCTTTTCCTCGGTTAATTCTTTTGATGGTAAGAAACCTTCAAATAAATGCCATTTATCACCAACATCAATTTTGAAAAGTTCTAAAATAAAACAAATCACTGTAGCAAATACAAAAACACTAACAAAGATTTCAAAACCACGAACATTTCTCATTGAATTTGATTCAGGTCTATAAGCGAAAAGAATAACAACAACATCTAATACTGTTAATGCAACACCCCAATTTAATGGTATTCCAAATAAGATTTCTAATGCAATTGCAGTCCCAACAACTTCAGCTAAATCAGTTGCAATAATTGCTAATTCAGCACAAAAATATAAAGTCCAATTTAACCATGGAGGTAAATGTTTCCGACAATTTTGAGCTAAATCTAACCCTGTGACAGATCCCAATTTAACACAAAGACATTGTAGTATAACTGCAAAGATATTTGACATAAACACTGCAAATAATAGTTTATATTCATAATTTGCACCACCTGCAACACCTGTTGAATAATTACCAGGATCTAAATAGGCAACTGAAACCATGATACCAGGTCCAACAAACTTTAGATATTTTAGGAAAGCATCTTTATATTGTTTCGGTATTATTGAAAGTACCATATTGATCCAATAGTTTGATATTTAACTTTGTTTTGATGGGTATTAAATATTTAAAATATGGGGATATCAGCAGCCCAAACAAATTATAGAAAAGCTAGTAAATGAGTGACGATGAACTTCCTCGAGTATATAAATTTGACAACTGATTGATCTTCTACTCTTCTACCCACTAACGTGATATGAATCCAAAATTCTACCCAAAATAAAACACCAGTCAATTTTTGCAATTGACCAGTTCTAAATAAATACTCGTGGTGGCTCTCTTTTTCGTATAAGCAGTAATCAACTCGGGATTTGAAAGAGAAACTCTTTCGCGGGTTTTCAATATATTGTTATACTACAAAATTCAAAATGCTTCATAAATCAAACAATTCAATCAAATTAATTATAAAATGGTAAGTTACTTGTTTGAACCAAATAAGAATCACTCATGGTCAGTTGAGTTTGATATTTCCTCCAATCTTCTCCGATATGAATTAGTTATTACACACTCAGCTAATCTTGGATCATTTGGATCTCCTCTTCCTAGGAGTAACTCACTAGGTGGAACTAGTGCAGCAATATCAGGATTATAATCAGTACTCACTTTGTCCATCTCTCTAAGTAGATCCTTCATAGTTTCTTGACCTGTAAAAGCCTTCTGAAAATCATTAAATTCATAATCATCATTCTTTAAACCTCCGAAAAGTAGACGGTTTCTATTCACCCTGGCTTGAACATCTGGATCTAAGTTGTCATCAGCACTTCACTGAGTTTGAGCATCATCGGCTCTTTCAGCTGAGCTAGTATGGTCTACATCTTGTGTATTTCCTCCTGCTCTGACTTCTTGGTCTCCTGTTTCTATGTCACTCATTGTATAATAAAATCACTAATTGATAGTATCTTAGTGTAGTTGTACCTACAATAGATAGATTGTGTGCTTTTTGAATCATACAAACCTCCCTCTTTCTCTTAATATATATAGTGAATAGTAAATTAGGGGTAAATTTTAAGTGATTGCTTGTCTAAGGGCTTGTCTATGGGCTAGAACTATAACTTAGATTACGTACAAGGGGTAAATTTATGGACCAATTGAGTTGAGAGTTGAATATACTTGTTCTCTTTATATGGTACTATTAACACACACACCCACTTTGTAGACTATTCCCATATTTGATCATGATATATTTCTTCATTAGTATCCATTAATTATAGGTTTTAAATATAGGAAGCAGCTTAACTATAGGAAATTGAGTAATTCGCGGGACTTTCTTTGATTATGTAATATTCACGTGATTTTTAATTTGGTAATAAATTACATAATCAAAACCAAAAATTCAATTCGCGAATTCTTTCAAAGGGCAAAAAAAATTGTAAACAAATCAAAACAAAAACATTTCAAAAGAGAACATCAAGATAGTAGGTAGAATTAGCTAAATTGGTCAAGTCAATTGATCGCTATGGAGAGATCGAGAAGACAGAGATTGAGTGAACTCTATGGTCCACCGGGAAGCCAGCCTTCTACTCCAAGTACTGTGCGTCAAAGGACATTGAGAGAGAAACTTGAATCTGAATATGGATCAAGATCAAGAGATTCAATAGGTTCAATCAAAAGAGAATCAGTTAAAGAAACCAAACCAATCATCAAAGAAACACATTTAAAGAATGCTTATATACACAATCAACAACCACAAACACTAATACCTCAACCACTATTGGATATTGGATATCAAAAGGGATGTGTCATTGCTCTTTTCATTATTATTCAATCATACAAAATTTATGATCTAACGTTATTAAAGAGTAATTTACCAATTGCATCATTTTTAGGATTCCCAAGTCAACGTTTCAATTTCATTACTAAATATATCCTTTATGATTCTGCATTCCTTTATTTCCTTCCAGCATTCAGAATCCCATCTTTTACATTTAAAAAAATCACTGTTTTTTCTCAAATTTTGGCTATATTAGCCATCAATTTATTCTTAGTTAGTGATCTAAGTTTCCCAATAACAACTTTATTATTTCAAGCATGGAAAACTTTAAATCATAAAGATCTTACAATCTTGGGTGGTACAAGTCGATCTCAAAATAATTATGATCCTCATAAACATTTTAAAGGTTCACATACAATTAAGATCTTACCAGAAAATACTGCATTTTTAAATCCATTTGGTGATAGTTTTTGTTTACCACAAGGTGTCAAAAATCATAAAGTTCATGTTCCAATTCGTTTCAATTCAACTTCAGAAATTGATTTCATTCAAGTTAAATATGTTGATTTAGAAACAAATGTTCCAATTTTATTAAATTATACCAAAAAGGATTTAAGAAAATTTGAAAAAAATGTTAATGATCATTATGAAAGAGATTCAATATCAGGTCCAAATATTCATTATTTAAATTTACCAATTTTGAAAACTGGTTTATATGAAATTGGTCAAGTTTTAGATTCAAAATATCTTGGTTTAAGAAATTATCGTTCTTCATTAATTGTTCCAACTTGTCCAACTGCTAGAATTGATAATTTAGATGAATTAGAAAATGATAAATGTCATGGTGATTTAGATACAGTTAAATTTACAATCACAGGTGTACCACCATTAAAATTAAAATATAAAAAATTGGTAAATCATGAAGTTTATGAATTTAATGATCAAAGTTTACAACCTGAATTTTTCAAAAGTCCACTATTAAGTCATGGTTCATATAAATCTCTAAATAAAAAACAATTATCTAATTTAGAATGGGCAAAATCAATTCCAGTTCAAGTTGAATTAGAAAATCCTGTTAAAGATTTAGGTGATTATAGTTATAAAATTGAAGAAGTTATTGATGGGTTAGGAAATTTAGTTAATTTCACTGAAACTTTGAAAAATAATGATAATTTATTCCAATCCTATGGATTATCTCATAGTTTTTATGCTCATGATTCACCAAAATTACATTTAAGTGAAAAATTAAATAGAAATTCACCAACGAAAAAATCAATTTTTTTACATATTGATTCTTCTGCTAAAGATGCGGCACCTTATGAAGCAACAATTAAATTTATTAGTGATGATGAACAAAAAACTGAAGAAATATTCACTCATATTTTCACAAATGAAAATGATGAATTACCAGTGGAAAACCCAGGTATTTATACTTTAGAATCTGTAAATACTAAACATTGTCCAGCTGTTGTTACAGGTCGTTCAAGTGTTTTGATTTCATTACCAGTGGTTCCAAAATTACAAGTTAATTCTAAACCAATCACTGATTCTTGTGTTGGTCAAGTTGGTCTTGTTTTTGATTTATCATTTGTTGGTACTCCACCTTTCACTTTACAACAATCTGTTCATCGTATTGAAAATGGTCAAAGAAAATTCTTGGAAACTAAAAAATTAATCTCACAAGGTACAAGATATAGATTTTCATATGAACCATCAACTGAAGGAAATTATGAAATTTCATTTGATAATTTATTAGATAGTCTTTATTTAGAACCAATTCATTTATCACCATCATCAGATTATACATACAAGACATCAATGAGAGTTAAACCAAGTGCAGAAATTCACAATTATCACAAGAGTGGTGCATTATGTCTTGGTTCCCAGGGGAAAGTTGCAATTCAATTGAAAGGTGAAGCTCCATTCCAATTAGATTATGATATTATTGAAACTTTAACAAATAAAAGAATACCATATTCTATAAAAGATATTAAATCTAATCGTTATGAAATTAAAACTCCTGCTTTTAATGTTGGTGGTGAATATATTGTTTCTTTAACCTCTGTGGAGGATAATTCTGGTTGTTTAGTTAATCTGAATGGTGCAGATGCTAATATTGCAGTTAGAAGAGAAATACCATCTATTGGATTTGGTCAATTAGATAGTTCAACAAAGATTAAGATTAAAGAAGGTGAAAAGGTGGAATTACCAATTAGATTACTTGGTGAAGGTTCATTTGATGTTACATATGATTATCATAATTCAAATGGTGAATATATTTCAACACATCATAAATCTTTTAGAAATGCTCATAAATCAAGTATTGATGTTACAAAAGCCGGTATTTATAAATTAAAATCTGTTAAAGATTCATTATGTTCTGGTAATGTTGATAAAACTGATACTTATGAAGTTACATATCATCCAAAACCTTCATTAGCAGTTAATGAACAATCTAAACAAACCAAGGTTAACAATAATGTTTTCACTAAAGCACGTGTTTGTCAATTTTATGAAGATTCTATTGATTTATCACTTTATGGAGCACCACCATTTGTTGTTGATTATACAGCTATTGATCCAAATGGTTATAGATCATCAAAATCAATATCTGTTGCTACCAGATTTGCTTCAATTAGATTACCAAATGATAAAGGTGGTGAATTTAAATATATTATTAATGGTATTTATGATGCAATTTATTCAAAGAGTGATTTAGCTAAAATTCGTTATAATATTGATCCAATTACTGTTAGTCAATCAGTTATTTCATCACCAAGTGGTGAGTTTAAAGATAAGAGAAAATCTTATAGAACTTGTACTACCAATTTATTAGACCATTCATTATTAGAACCAATTAAATTGAATTTGAATGGTAATGCACCATATACAATTACTTTTGAAATTTATCATGAAAGCAGTTCAAAATCTGATTTCTTAACTTTGAAAGATATTAAAACTCCAATGGATCTTAAAGATTTATATCGTGGCTTGAAATTAGGTAATCATATTGTTAATATTGTTAAAATTATTGATGCTGATGGTTGTATTCAAGAGGATTTTGCTGAAAGTAATTACATTTCAATTTCTATTACAGATACACCAAAAATCAGTCAATTAGATTCAAGTGTTAACTATTGTGTTGGTGATCATATTGGTTATCAATTGATTGGTACACCGCCATTCACAGTTGTTTATTCATTTAATGGATTAGATTTGAAATCTGTTGAACGTTCTTCACAATTCTCAAGATTAGCTTCAGAACCTGGTACAATTGGTATTTCATCACTACAAGATTCTTCATCAAATTGTGTTGTTAATTTCACATTACCAGAAAATAAAGATTTAAGTGATAAATTAACTATAAATGTTCGTCCAATTCCATCAGTTGAAGTTAGTGAAGGTGATATTATTGTTCAAGATATTCATGAAGGTGATCAAGCTGAAGTTATCTTTTCATTTGAAGGTACACCACCATTTGCATTAACCTATGTTAGATATGAAGAAGTTGAAGTTAAAAGAGGAAGAAGAAGATCACAAGTTGTTGAAACTCATACTGTTAATGGAATTTATGCTTTCGAATATAGAGTCCTGACAAGTTTACAAGGTACATACGAAGCTATTGAAGTTTCTGATGCTTTCTGTGTTGCAAGAAACGAAGAAAGAAAATGAGATCAAATCTCGTTTGTTTATAATATCATAATTGTATAATAGAAGAATTTTTTTCAGTAAAATATTAAGTCGTACTTTTTTTTTTAAATTTTTCCGTATACCCGCGTGTTCGTAACAAATCCATATAATTAATCCGAAGTACTAATAATTACATTCAACCACAAAAACATTTCAATTCGAATTGTACATGAATAGCTGTAGAAAAGCTATCATAGGTTGACACAAAAACAGATATGAAGGTATATAAATGAAGAAAGGGTATCTTCATTTAGAAGATGATCCTTGTACCATTCTGATGTTCTTCAAGAATATCAACAAGTACTACTGATTATCAGCATGAAGGTTAAACAAATTTTTGCTAATCTTATCTTACCATTTCTTGCTCTAGTTCCAGCTTTTGGCGCTGCTATTGGTGATAAAGATGATAAAGAAATAGATGAAACTTATGATTATAGTGATCATGTTTACAAGACCCTTTTCAAGAATACTCATTTACAGAAAGCTTCTTATTGTTCTTATGAATCAACATTTTATGAAGGTCCATTAAATGAAGCATGTCCAAAGATGGCATTTTGTGAAAAAAATGATAATTTGAAGATTGTTGGTATTTATAGTCCAAGTATCAAGGAGAAACAAATAAGTGGTACCGCTTTTGTTGCAGTTGATGAAGATGCTAAAACAGTTCATGTTGTCTTCAGAGGTACTTTAAGTCCTGGTGATACTGTTACAGATTTTGTATTTTTACAATGTCCATATGTTCCTGTTTTATCAAACAATATTGGTTATGAAATCTTTGAAAATGTTTCAACTTCAGATCCAAATGGAATGGCACAAGCTATTAAAGACCATACAAAGGAAGAAACACCAACTTGTGAAAACTGTCTAGTTCATTGTGGTGTTTATGTTGAATTTACCAAATTTATCAATGAAATTCAAGATACAATTGAACCTTATATGAAAAAAGATTACAAATTGATCGTTACTGGTCACTCATTAGGTGGTGGTTATGCCTTATTAGGTGGTTTAGAGTTCTTATTGAAAGGTTATGATCCTTTATTAATCACTTATGCATCATTAAGAATGGGTGATCCAACTTTTAATCATTGGGTTGATGATGTCTTTGATACTGAACATATTGCCAAAAAAGTTGCTAAAGGTTCCAAATTACCATTCCCATCCTATTCAAGGGTTTATCAAGCAACAGACATCGTTCCAAGATTACCACCAGCTTTACCAGGTATTGTTTATACTCATTCAGGTTTAAGATTTGAAATTACCAAAGTTAGATTACCTCATTTGAAAGAATTTGTTGTTTATAAAGGTGCTTCTAATAATGATTTGAATGATGCTATTGATTTCAAACTTCAACCGGGTGTTTTCTTGCCATACTATCAACATACACATCAATTTATTAGAATTGCATGGCCTTGTGATGATTCTGATATGCCATTCCCATGATTCAACTTGTTCATTACTGTTAGAGAGAGAGAGTCGTTATATTCTTTTGTTTTTATAATACTTTAGAGATTACATTTTATTATTTTACATGCCGACGTAGTATAAACGAAGTCCTACTAGCTTTAAATTCAACTCAATGTCATCAATCAATAGATATAGTTTATTATTTATAATACTCTAGAGAGTACACAGTTTTGATTTATCGTATGATAAATTCCCCAGTCTGTGTTATATATTTAACACCTTTATAAGGTTTAATATCATTTAGACCTCTTTTAATCTCTAAGGATTCCACTCTAATACCACTTGGAACAGCACCTTTATTTTTATAAGATAATTTAATCAATTTTGGGAAATGAGCTTCTGGTAAATGATGATTATTATTTTCAGTTTCATCTGTATCATCTTGATTATAACTTGATTCATCTTCAAAATCATCATTTTTTTCCAAAACACCACGTAAAATTGGATTTATACCTAAAGATATTACAGGATCGAAAATCCATTCAAATTTTCCATTTGATTTTGTTTGGAAATCACCATGACTTAATCTTAAAATTTTTATACTAAATTGATTTCCTGTTTGAATTTCAATTTTTAAATTTTCAATTTTTGAAACATTTTTGAAAAAATTTATATTTAAATCAATTTCAAATTCATTTTTTTTCAAACCTAATCCAGTTTTAAAATCTGGTGTTATAAATCCAATATTTCTTTGAGTCTTAGATTGTGTGTAAGAATCTAAATCAATAAGATAATTCATTATAGTAGATTTCCCATCTGGTGGTATAAATGATAATTTACCTTCATCATTAATCCATCTTTCTGTTCTAACACATCTATGTAATGATGGAATTCCCAGATAATGACCATTTAGATTCAAGTTACATAAAATGTCTGGTATACCACTCAAATGTGAAGTGAAATCTAATCTTCCTTGGATATTTGCCACAGTGGGTATTAATTTATGTGGCATGGAAGAATTTGAATAAAGATTTAATTTATTGTTGATATTAGACCCATTTAATGGTTTTCTTGATTTGAATTGTTGTGGAGTTAAAATGACATTAATAGTTTCAATAATATCAACAAACAATTCATTATTTGTATATCTAACGTTTGAGCTTCTCCATGGAATTTGATTATCTGTTGATTTGGAATTTAAATTTGCAATAGGATCTTGAGATGAACTAGTTGAAGATGAATAACTTTTAGCAATTTGATTTGTAGTTTGTAATAATTTACTCCCAATTGATGAGCTGAATGGAACAAGATCTTTTAAAGTGTTTAAATCTGTAATATATGGATAACCACCTTCTAAAATTTCTTGCATCAAATTACACATAATATCATAATTTGCTTGAATTTTCATTGGATTAATCGGTGTACCAAAATAATCTTTCAACACTTCAATGAGTTTCCCCAAGAATGAGAACACAAAATTTGGATTAATCACTGATATTTTGTCCTTATTGTCCTTATTACTTGATTTTTTGTTAATTTTGTCCTCGTTGTCATCATCAACTTCATCGTATTCATCACTTTCATCGTCTTCATCACTTTCATCCTGGTTCAAACTTTTCAAATTCAAGGATTGAGCAGTACTGATGTCTTCAACAAGTGCATATAATGATATTTTTTCAATAGAAAGCTTATAAACTGTATGGATCTTGGAAATTTGAATAATGGAATCGTTATGAATATTTTGAGACCCTATTCCCTTGATAGCTGACAAGATGGTCTTCAACGTAGGAGCAGAAGAAGAAGTAGGATATTCAAATATCAAAGTACTATTCAAATCAGTTAGTAAAATACCAGATCATCATTATTCAACGCCATCCACTTACTCTCTTTCATCAGCAATGTACAGACCTTCAATTGTGGCCATTTCTTTCCAATTCAGCAACACACTTTAGCAGAACAGTAGACTAGCAAGCACAGAAGGAATTGAATACCCAGAAGATGATTAACCGCCCTTTAATTGACTCTTTAAAAATCAGCGCTTAGATTAGTTGTTGGTGTTTACTTGTAGTCTGTTTTTGAATTTCTTATCAAATAATTTTGGTTGACATTTTTTCCTTGACAATTCGCGAATTAAAGCCGCCATATAAAATTCTTATTACGTAAAATATTAGTCATTGGTATAGTGCTTAATATTAATTTCTACTTTTAATTAATTACTAGTCAATCTCAAATCCTACAAGTATTATGTTTAAATCAATTAAAATTATTATATTATATTTTGCATAAAAAACATTAAACATTCATGATATTATGAAAAGGTAAGTACAAAAAAGAAATCTATTTACGGGATGAACTTGAATTGTCGTCAACGACACCAACTTCTGATGATGGTCTTTTTTCATTTGATAATGATTCATCTTCAGCTAATTTATGAACATCGATATCTAAATCTCTAGCAACTTTTTCTTCAACGTTAGAGATATCAATCAAACCATAAATTGAAATGGTAATTAAACCTAAGACACCTGCAACACATGAGAAAACAAATGCAACATAACCTTTAGCAGTGAAACCTGATGGAACTGGTGGTTGTTGGACATTTTCACCTGATAAATCAGTAAAGACAGTGTTGTTAGCAACATTAGCATTGGTTGCAATGTTCAAATCAGCACAGACAGCTTTATGTGATTCGGTCAATTGTTGGTTTGGATCTTCTTGAATACCTTTTGGATCTTCAATTAAAACAAGGGCTAAACCTTGTTCCAAATGCCATTCGATATGACAATGGAAAAACCAAACACCTGGGTTATCAGCTTTGAATCTTAAAACCATATTGGAGTTTTCACGAACATAAACGGTATCTCTCATCATTGGGTATTGTGGGAATTCAGCATGGTCATCTTCATCATAAGCTTTTGGTTCATCAGAATCTTCTGGACCTGAATAATGATCTCTATCAACAACTTGGAAAGCATGACCATGTAAATGGAAAGGATGTTTACCAGTATCTTGATTGTTGACAACAATTTGAACAATATCATCCTTATCCAAAACAAATGAATGGGTATTTGAACCATAAATAGCAGCATTGGTTGCATCATCACCAGCACCTAAAACTGAAACTAAAATTGGAACTTTTGGTGCAGTGTAAGTAAGGTTGTTGAAGAAAGCATAGTTAATACCATTCTTTAAGTTATCCATGACAACATCAACTGAGATTTCAATATCTGGTTCACCATATAATTCAGTTTTGTTGATTGGAGTTAAATAGAAATCATCTAAGAAAGCATCATCTTCTAAGGAATCAACGAAAGCTTCATCAACTTCTTCATTATCTTTGTTATAAGAAAGAGTATGAGTAGCATTAACAATCAAATCATCTGGTTGAATATCTAACATACCAGTATCAACTAATTGCATAATAGCGAAATTCTTTGAAGTATCTTTCTTGGTCTTTAATAAAACAGTGTAACGTTGAGCAACAGTGATATATAACATATCAGTGGTGTTTCTTTCAACTGGAATACCATCAACTTCAATAACATCGAATTCATGATCTTCAATAAAGAACCAATATGAAGTGAAACCACCAATGTTAATCAATCTTAATAAATAAGTTGTATCTGGTTGAACTTCCCAAGTTAAATTTCTGGTGTTATTCATTAAGAAATTTTGAGGAATTGGTTCAGCACCAGTTGGATTATACAAACTTAAGAATTTTGGCATTAATTCATAAGTTGTTGAATGATAGTATTCAGTAAATGATAAGGATAATTCTTCATCATAATCTTCACCTTGTTTGTATGGGTAATCTTCATCATGAATAATGAATAAACCTCTCATACCATCCATATATTGACCACCAGTATGGGAATGGTACCAGTAAGAACCAACTTGATCTGGAACAGTGAAATTATATAAGAAAGTTTGACCTGGACCAATTGGACATTGTGTAACCATTTCTGGACCATCCATTTGTGAGGAACCATGTTGGAATAAACCGTGGAAATGCATTGATGTGTTTTTGTTATCATCGAAACCATTAGTCAAATAAATGTTAACGGTATCACCTTTGTTGATTTCAATATTTGGCCATGGGAATTCACCATTACAAGTAATGATTCTTGTTTTTTCACCTGAACCATCTAAGTCACGGTCATCATAACCTGTGGTCCAGTTATAAGTATGTGTAGCAGCAGATACCACTGATGACAAGACTAATGAAGTCAACAAAGCTGTGAATTTAACCATCCTTGTTGAATATAGAAATTGTGAATAAAGGGTCCAACAAAAGATTTTCCATTTTTTAAGTTTGATTGATTAAATACGTGATACATGGTGTTTTATATATTTTGAAATTTTTTTTGCCCGTTTACTCTGATAGAATTTTTTTGTTCGATTGATTATAATCAAAGATTCGAGACATATTCAATTTAAACTTTTGTACATACAGATTTTTATAACACCGACAAGCTGCACACTTTAACTTTAGGTGCTTTTTTTGGGAGCCAAAACTTTAAATTGTGGACATCTTTACTTTTTTTTACGCGATGGCCGATGTTCTTCGGACATTTGAATTTTGGACAGTAGACATTTAAAAAGATTTGGACAAAAGTATATATGATCGGTAACTTAAAACTAGTGATGTGAGATATGTGCTGGTTGAGCGTTTTACTAGCATTATCAATAGTGATGATCTATTGTTGAAGCTTTGGTGTTCATCAATTTGCGAAGCAGTATGGCTGTATCTACGTGGGAGGGGAGTAGTATTATGGACTATGATGATATATCTAATATAATCAAGTAGTAATTGTATTCACTATCTATACATACTCTTTTTGCAGTGTATTATACCATGTCGGTGCAATATTCAATTGAACCAGGCCCTATATATATATATAGTATGAAGCTTTTCTTGGCCGTCGATATTATGCGAGTACATGGTGTTTCTCAATTATATATATATATATATACAGACTCCAGAGCCATATGTACAAATCAACACCTTGCTTCAGTTTATATATACTTAGTTTGATTATGTCAATATACCAGTGAGCTCATCGCTCGATATATACATTCATGATGAATATGATTGATTGTTTCAGCTCTCTAGAGTCTATAATATATATCAACTATATTCAAATAGAATACAGCCAATGAGAAGGGCCAAATAAACTAAAATTTCTGATCGTAGTGAGATCTGTACAGTGTAGACTGTAGTCTGTTCTTCCGCCTGCATGGAGGTATAGTAAAAGTTGAAAACACGAATTTTTGGGACAATCTTAAGTTATCTGATGAATCTGTGCATAATAATCACCAGAACCAAGGAATTAGAAACCAAGGCACAACTATAAGCTTCTTCTATTTAATATTCGACTTGAAAGTTGTGAATTATATGAGGAGAATCAGCCAGCTATCTGGAGAAAGGTTTCCAACTACAGGTCGATAACAGCTTGATGAGTTCAAACTTCGTATAGAACCTTTGTAAGTTAATCAATTACTATAAGGGTTTGAATCTTTCGGCTGCCCATTCGGAGGGCACTTATGGTACATATATATGTATGCAACTTAGGTTATAAGGACATTTAGGAAAACACCCATACGTCGTATGGGCTTTAGAAATAAACTACTTCAAGTATCACGATTCACTACTAAAGAATTCAGTAAGCTGTAGCTCAAAGGGTGAATTTATAAACCAACATCTAATTGTTAAGCTTTCCATATGAATAACTCATCAATTGAGATCACTGTTTAGTTCCTAAAGAGTTGTAACAGCTTATACCTTAATTTTTGCACCCAATATATATACCCGTATTCCCAATCCCCAATCCCCATATAAAATGGAATTGAACTACGTTATGCGACGATGTACCGGGATATCCTAAGTTATACCATTTACGCTGCGTGGAAGTTATAATTCATTCGATACAATGTTAGTTACTATTCACAGTGTACAATATACAATTAATATGATCTATAAAGTTGATGCTCGAGTATAAGGTTTGTAGATGATCTGACTTTTCAAACGGTCACTTGTTCGAAGATGTTGATTCTTCAGTACCGAACTTCGAAGTTACACCAAGAAAAATATAAGCTTTTTCCTGCCAAAAGTTATATCAAAAAAATCACTACCTAAATTGGATAAAATCAGCTGTTTGTAAATTGAAAATCATGCAAGAAATTGCCCCCAAAAAGTCCAAACGTATAAAAATGTGCTGCTTCAAATTTAAACTTTCCCTCGCTCTGATTGGCTTTTGTTCGTCACCTGGTAGAACTTTTAAGCCCGACACCTGGTGAGAGACTACAGACATTTCCCCTTTTGACAACATTGTGCAGCATGGACAAAAGAACAAAGCCAATAAACGGTCGCAAAACGTCTGAAATTCAGGACAAATGATAAATTTTTATCTGATTGATCAATAAAAAGCTTATTTTTTTTCTTAGTTGTATAAGGACGATGGAATTAAAATATTTTAACTTCATTTTAAACAATAACCAATTAACTCATCGGTGATTTATGGAAGCTGTTAATTAAACCGTGATCATCCTTGAGCAGCCAATTACCACATAAAGTTTGATGAAGTTACGTCGTAAATTGCACCTGATGGAAATGATAATTTGAATTGTTTGAACCCTGAGCTTTTGAATCTGAATCATTTCAGTTGACCTAGATGACTATCAGACAAACTTTGAAGCTAATCCAGTTGAACATTTATATAACCATATGAAATCATCTTGTATATATAAAGTGAATGTTCATCAGGTTGTATCATTAATGTGGTTTGTGGTGTATCATTGAAGACGCGTATCTGCCCTAGTATCAAACTTATAATTTGCCCCATAACGGCTGAATATATTAACGAATCATATATATTCAATTCATTTATGTGAAACTATAAGTTGATTGGCACTTGGTTTGGTCAGTTGGTGAATAACTCTAGCTGAATACACTATATACTATATAGATCACAGAAATATTCAGGAAATCGACCCCTTCTTATACGTAAAGAGCAAGGTGTGCTATATAATTGCTCATCGCCATTTCAAATTCAATAGTAGATCAAGAATATGTTCAACGATTTAAAATAAATGCTCATTGAATTAAATTTGCTCAAAAGTTTATACCAAAGTTTTATCACATGACCGTGAACGTGATTTTTGTTGGGCATAATGTTTTCGAGAAAAAATATATTTGCTAGCACCTTTAACTTGACACATTAAAAAGTCTCGATTTACTTCAAGGTTTAACTTTAACTTCATCATATACATATAAACTCAAATTTAGGCTTTGAAAAAGAGCTAGTGATAATACAGCTTCAATCTTATTTCATATTCCCTTCATTTCAGCCCTGAGGATCTCAATTGAAGCTTTCTTAATAACGTCAAATTAATCTTTACACCCCAAATCTATAATATAGAATGAATCAATATTAAATAAATCATGTCAAATTATACAAAAATTTCAAGTTTAATAAAAGATCTTAATATAATTTCCAAATTACAAAACATAACTAAAAATGGTCGTGTAAAGACCTTAGGTTCATCCACAACAACATCACCAAAAATATTATCCCCATCTAAAACTCCAACATCAACAACATCAGTTCATCAATCTAAACAACAAAATGTTAAAGGTTATAGAAGATCTACTGCACCAACTGCATTACCAATATCTAAGATTATAACAACAAAATTATTCCCATTATCTACTATTGAATCATTTCAAGATTATTTGAAGAGAGCAGATTTGGATATTGCACAAGAAAATTTATTAAATTTATTAAAATGTTACAAGGATCCACAAATGATTACTAAAACTTTAAAAATTAAAATTGATGATGAAGGTAATTATATTAATGAATTTATGATTCATTCCAAAAATGTTGATTATTCCAATTGTAATCATTTTGTTATAATTCATGGTTATGGTGCAGGTTTAGGCTTCTATTTGAAAAATTTAGATGAAATATCATCAAAAGATTCAAATTGGTGTATTCATGCATTAGATTTACCAGGTTATGGATGTTCATCAAGACCAAAATATAATGAATCTAAATCATTAGAAGAATATTTTGTTGATACTTTAGAAAAATGGAGAATTAATAGAGGTATTAATAAAATGTTGATGTGTTGTCATAGTCTTGGTGCTTATATGACTTTATTATATACAATGAAATATAAACATCATGTTCAAAAATTATTATTAATTTCACCAGCTGGTATTTATAGACCTAAAGATTTAAATTTAGATATCCCACCATGGTTTCATTATCTTTGGGAACAAAATATATCACCATTTGCACTTGTTAGAAACACGGGACCATTTGGTTCAATGATTACATCAGGTTGGACATCAAGAAGATTTGCCAAATTAACTGAAATTGAACAATTTTATTTACATAAATATACTTATTCAATTTTTAATGCACAAGGTTCAGGTGAATATTATATGTCACAAGTTTTAGGTGCAGGTGGTGTACCAAAATTACCTTTATTAGAAAAGATTGAAAAAATTAGTTGTGATACAACATGGTGTTATGGTGATGAAGATTGGATGCCAAAAGAAGGTGGATTAAAATGTATTGATAAAATTATAAAAAATACAAATTATTCAAGTGATTTCAAAACTTTTAAAAATTCAGGTCATCATATTTATTTAGATAATTATAAAGATTTTAATCAATTTATCCTAGATGAAATGAAGAATTATGAAAAGAAGTATATATATATGTGATCACAAAGAAGCTCTAGATTGATCATGATCATATTACATTAAATAAAACCCAAATTGTATATATTCATATATTTATAAACATATAATCATGTATTCGTTGAAGTGTTACATATATAATGTATGATATGATGAATTAAAAAAAGCATTAAGAGACAAAATTAAGTTATTATACAAAACAATAAAGAAAAAAAAACACAACACACAGACGAAATGACATTATTCGAAAGTTTGATACTAATAAAGATGACATGATTCAATTTTTAATTTTATTTTGAATAAGCTTTATCAACACCTTTTTTATTAGCTTCTAAAATTTTCTTTCTTTGTAATTTTTGTGCAGATGTAACAAATCCATTTTGTGGAGTCCATTCTTCATCAGATAAAACTAAACCTTGAATTAATTCAATACCATTTAATCCTTGAGATTTTGCAGTACTTAATAATGCATTTAAAACTTTATTAGTTAATTTTGAATCATGTAAAGCTTTATGAATATCTTCATTTTCATTTTTAATTAAACCTAATTCTAATGCTAATGATCTAATAGCATTTTCATTTGGAACAACAATACCAACTGGTTTAGCATGATCTTGATCAGCATAAACACAAATGTTTGCAACATAAGTATTTGAACGATAAACAGATTCTAATTTTTCTAATGCAATATATTCACCATTTAAAGTTTTAACTAAATTTTTCTTACGATCAATAATTTTTAATTGACCAGTTTTAGTCCATTCACCAATATCACCAGTCTTGAACCAACCTTCTGAATCAAAAGCTTCTTCAGTTTCTTTTGGATTTTTATAATATTCTGTCAAGACTGGATAACCTCTAATCCAAATTTCACCTTGATCATTCTTAGCATAATAACCAGCATCTGCAACATCAACTAATTTAACAGTAATTGCACCAGAAAGAGCACCTTGAACATCATATTCAAATGAGTTTGGATCAACAACTGTAGTGTTTGCAACGGTTTCAGTTAAACCATAACCAATCAACATTGGACATAATAAATTTGAAATGAAAATTTGAGTATCTTTTGAAATTGGAGAACCACCATTTAAAACATATCTTAATTGACCACCAGTTGCTTCTTTAACTTTTTTAAAAATAAAATTATCAATTAAATATGAAGAACCAGGAACTTTCCAATTTTTCAATTTATAATTATAACAAGTCCAAAATAATTTTTGAGTAAATGAAGGTTGTTTAGCAATTTTTGCTGTAATACCCTTTTTAATAGTTTCCCAAACTGCAGCAACTGCAACCATAATTGTTGGTTTAAAAGTTTTAATATCACCATCTGAATTTCTTGTTGAAACATCAGTTAAAGTTTTAACATTGGCATAACCAATAACACCGTTCCAATAGAATGCAATTAATTCAAAAGCTAATTCAAAAATATGAGCTAATGGTAAAAATGCAATAATACGATCTTTTTCATTAATTAATTTACGATCAATAATAAATGAAACACCAGCAACACCAGATAAGATATTTTCATGTGTTAAAACAACACCTTTTGGATCACCAGTTGAACCTGAAGTATACATAATACAAGATAAATCTTCAGGTGAAGGTGGATGAACTTGAATATCTTGAGATTCTTGACCTAATTTATGAACTTCATCTAATGAAACAATTTTAATATCAGGTCTAACTTCTAAGATTTTATCAACAGCGGTTTTAGCTTCTTGATATAATTCACCTTCTTGTCTTTTATCATTTGAATCAATCGGTTCTGAATGAATAATGAATTTAATTTCTTTAGCTTTTTGTAAAGGATTGATTAAAGCTGATAAAAGATGGTTATCAGTAAAGATGGCATTTGATTCAGTTTGAACTAATGAATGAGTTAAACCTTTTTCACCTAAAGTATCATAAGCTGTAACAATTGGAATTGATTGAGTTTGAGCAGCTAAGAAAGTTTTCATCCATTTATGAGAAGTTGAAGCAAAAATATGTAATTTATGTTCACCACTTGGTTTTAAACCTAATTGAACTAGACCACGACCATAATCATGTATATATTTGTTAACTTGTCTATAACTTTCATACTTGTAATCGGATAATTCATAATATAACCAAGTTTTATCAACTTCTTGTTCTTCACCATCAACCATTTTTTTAACTTTCTTCTTTTCCTTATGAACTTCTTTAATATTTCTATAACCCATAGCATCACGATCACCACCTCTTTCAAAAGCTTCTAAAATGAATTCATAAACAGTATTTGCCTTATAACCAGCAGGTCTTTTAATTGCGGTCAAATCTTTTAATTTAGCATTTCTTCTTGGGGCGGTTTCACCAGCTCTTTCTGGTTCACCAACAGGGACGTTAACTAATTGAACCATTGTAACTTATCTTCTTAGTCAAAATGATTACTTGATTCAATTGAAGTGGCAATTAATTAAAGGAAGTTGAAGTAGAATTAAATGAAGCGCTTGTTTTTTTGGTTTTCGTGGAAGGGGATCAACAAAATTTCCGGTGGGTTGCCGGTTTTAAAAATTTCCAAACAATTCTGTGAGAAAACAATAAAGATTTGAATTTAAAAGTCAATTGAAAAGTCATTTTAAAGGTAAATTTGATCTTGGAAATGTCATTGGTCTTGTTGATTAAGAGTCAAGACAATTGTTGAAGTTGAAGTTGAAGTTCATCGTTATCTTGATCTATTAATTGATCTATCTCGATGACATGATGGTTGCTAATTAGCATTTGTTCAATTGAACTCACATTCAGACCATCGACTAACTCATATACAACACTATGACATTACAATATAGTTATCTGTCAATTAGATAAAGTATAATACGATCTACAGATTGACATATAGACTATATCTATACAATTGCTATCAATCACTTGACACTTTGACAAGTTTGTCACCATCTCCAATTTTGCCACTGACACATTATTTTTTAGTGCAAGCATGAAATTTGTATATGAAGCATTTGAATCACAACATGCCAATACTTAATTTTTTGTAAATCTTTAAAGAAACATTCAATTAAATTGGAGTTTAAATTAACATTACTTATACTGTCAATTCTCCCCTGTTAAAATTTAAGCGAGATTTGTTGGGAACAGAAAAACCCAACAATTCTCATTGAAACCAAATCTCAGGAATTTCCAAATTGGTGTAACCGTGGTTTAAATCAGCAGGTGCCTGAATTATTTTTTTTAACCCTTCATACATTTTTGATTGATTGCGCGAATTCTTTAAATTTTACAAAGAGGAGAACAAGAGTTACGTAATGCTTGGCGTGTGGGTTATGTAATGCTTTTTAATTTTCATAAAACCTCGGGGATAAAATTTTAAATTTGATGTTTCGGAGAATAGAAAAAATTGTGTCAATGTACATCGCGTACAAATCATAAACACTTGAGCTGGTATAAGTGTAGATGAATTTACATTATTATCAATCTCATTTTCAAGTATCACAAGAGCTTTTATTAATTGAAAACTTGAATAACAATCTATACAAGTAGTTGAAGTGTGTATCACCTATTTGAGTCAATCCTCTAGTATATACAATATGATCGCTTACTATTGTGATGTCAAAATGGGTGTAATTTTTGAGTCTCTTAGAAAAAAAGCCTGGAAGGTGAATTTAAACATCAACAAACGTTGATCAAGTGAAATTATTGGTGATTTGATCTAGTATTAAGAAGAAATATATATTTATACAATTGCATTTTGAAATTGGCTGTTTATCTTATAAAGATCATTTACCTCGTTTTACCAGCTTAACTAGAGCTTGCAATTCTAATAATATATTCAAGAAAGCCCATTATTTTCAGCCATATATCGTTGTCTATTCCATCTTTAAGCCTAATTCTTTGACATATTAGTATTAACTTGATTCTCATAATTTAAAGTTAAATAACAATAATTAATACCAAAGGATGAATTCTCAGTATAATAATTATACAACTCAACCATTACCAACTGGAGTACCTACACAAGAACAAGAACCTTTAACTGAAGCTGAAGAAATTTTATTTAGAGAATATGAAATTAGAGAACAAGATAGATGGTTACCTTTAGCAAATGTTGGTAGAGTTATGAAAAATGGTTTACCTTCACATGCAAAACTATCAAAAGAATCAAAAGAATGTGTTCAAGAATGTGTCTCTGAATTCATTTCATTTATAACTTCAGGTGCTGTTGATAAATGTCAAGCAGAAAAAAGGAAAACTTTAAATGGTGAAGATATCTTGTATGCAATGAATTCATTAGGTTTTGAAAATTATGCTGAAACTTTAAAAATTTATTTAGCAAAATATAGAGAACATGAAAGATTAGAAGCTGATGATAGAAGAGAAAAAGATCGAATGAAACGTCAAGCAAGAAAAGAACGTAAAGAACGTGAAAAACGTGAAATGTTAATAGCATCTGGTCAATTGGATGAAAATTCAACCTCAACAACAATAAGTGGATCAAAATCAACAAAACAATCAGATAATATTCAAGATTATGATGATGATGAAGAAGGTTTAGATGATTACGAGGATTTAGATGATGAAGAAAAAGATAATGATTCAAATTTAAGCGCTGTTAATGAAGAAGATGAACCTGTTGATTTAAATGATCTAAGATATGATATTGATAATCCAACTATAGATCAATATGTCTTGAGTGGGAATTCTAATGAAATGAATGTTTATGATGAAAGTATTCAATTTCAAGAGCAGATATAATTTTTATACTGGTGATCAATATTCGTTTCTATGGGAATATGAAAAATATTTTTGGTTAGTTGATTGATCAGCTAATTAATTCTTCTGATTTTTGTTTTTGTGTCAATGTTTTAATATGGGAAAAAAATCATCACCGGTGTTTAAATGAAATCAAAACAAAAATTGAAACCATGTTGATACAAGTATTATCAACCATTTACATTGACCTTATATCATTATAAACAAACGTTTTAATCATGGTGCTGTGGATTTGGATTTTATCATATTTTATTATTTCAGTTACCGCTGTGGATTTTTTAGTTCAATTTCAACCAAATTGGTCATTTGATAATTTTTATCAAAGATATTTTAATAAAAAAACAATTGATGCTCAAGGTTTAAAAAATTTAGGTATAAAAACTTTTGAAATGGGTAAATTTCAAGGTTTAATGGGTGAACTTGATATTGAAATGGTTAGAAAATTATATTATGATAAAGATGTTGCAGCAATTTCTATTGATAGAGAATTAGTTTTAGCTGATGTTCAAGAAAATGCTCCAAAACATTTAGCAAGATTATCTCAAAGACAACCATTAAAACCTGATCAAAAACATTATGATTTTGTATTTGATCCAACTGGTGGTATTGGTGTTGATATTTATGTTTTAGATTCTGGTATAAATTCTCAACATAAAGAATTTTCTAAAAGAGTAACAAAAATCATTGATTTAACTGGTGAAAAAATTGATGAAGGTAGTAATACTTCAAATAAATTAGATGATCCTGTTGGTCATGGTTCATTTATAGCTGGTGTTATTGCATCTGAAACTTATGGTGTTGCTAAAAAGGCAAATTTATTTGATGTTAGAGTAACAAATAAACAAAGTCGTACCAAATTATCATCTGTTGTTAATGCATTAAATTTAATTTTACAAGATTCCAAGATAACTAAAAGACCCACATTAGTTGTTATACCATTAGTTATGAAGAAAAATGCAATCTTAAATGGTGCAGTTGAATCATTAGTTAAACAAGGAATCCCAGTTATTGTTCCAGCTGGTAATGAAGGTAAACAAGCATGTAATTTTTCTCCTGCAAGTGCTAAAGGTGCATTAACTGTTGGTGCAATTGATGTTAATGATGAAGATTCAATTCCAAAATTTAGTAATTGGGGTGCATGTGTTGATGTATTTGCACCTGGAGTTAAAGTTAAAACAACTGGTAATAAAGAAAATGAAATTGTTTCTAAAACTGGTACATCATTAGCAACTGGTGTTACTGCAGGACTTGTTGGATATTTTATGGGTATGGGAGATGATGGTAATCAAGCAATTGAAAGAATTGTTAATTATTCCACACCGGATGTTATTCCAAGTGATAGTTTAGGATTCAAACCATTAACAGCTAATAGAATTTTGTTTAATTGTGAAGGTCAACCAAATTGGTAATGAACTGAATTATATGTATAGTGTTTATGATATAGTTTTTTGACTTAATGAATGAAGAAGATTATGTTTATGTTTATGTTTATGTTTATTGTAGAGAATCGATAAAAATATTGTGCTTATTCTCGGATTATATAAGCCAAGTAACCGTATAGAACTATATAGTATGAGAGAAATTCAAAAGAGAAGTTTAAGTTTATACAAAATTTATAAACATGTATAAGTTCTGATTTTGAATATGATATTCATAATGTGATTATCTTTGTATTCACAACCATAAGCATGGAACCAGTAAAGGAATCAGATCTGCAAGAAGAAGCTCACGGTGGATCAGATAATGATAATGGTATCAATAAATACCACCATAACAGGACAAAGAATGAGAAGAAATTAATTGAAAAGTTACATAAAAAAATGAACTATAGAATTATTCCATTAATACCAGCACCTGGTCAAAACACAATTAATCCACCTTTAATATCTTGTCCATGGTTACGTTCAAAGATACAAAACTTTGGTTATTTTCCTTTCTTTCAATTTCAATCTAAACCATCAAAGTTTTATAATCTTAAACGTCCATCTCAGTCACCAAATTATAAATCACTATTTGTTAGAACATCTAAAGAGTCTATCCCAGTTAAGTTATTTTATTTTATGAGATCTCAAGAAAGATTGAATCCTATATTAGTTAAAAATCTAAATGATCCTATGATTAACTTCAATTTTTATTTTAGACCAGCTATGAACAATTCAATCAAGATTGATTCAGATTTAAGACAACATTTGATTGATTCATTCACACAAATTATACTTGATTATCATATGAAAGAAGATGCACTAGAATCTTCTTCAGGTCAACATGCAGGGCCTTATAGATTCAAACCAAACGGGCCTAAAATCATTTTCCCTAAAGGAGTGAAAACTTTTAATCAAATAAAACTATGTCTAGCATTCCAACCTAACAAAGAGCCACTTTTACAAACTTTAGAAACATTCATCAATATATTAGATTTTGGAGGTGAATTAAAAGAAATTGATGCATTTGCTTATACTTTTGAAAATGATTCACATAAAGCTTTTTTAATACATTGTCAGCATATTCATGATGGGAATGAATTGAGTTTTTCAAATCTTGTGAATAATCTTTTCTCTACAACGGTACCATCAAATGATTGTTCATCAACATCAGATCCTGTTTATTTCATTCCTGGTCAATCAACTTATGATTTAGTTGACCCTCCACCGCCATCTTATCAAAAATAATGCTGTTAAATTTAAGCGCCCTATTTGATAACTTACCGCCTTGTTATAGAGGATATAATCATACACATCTAATTTCATTTCATAGTTCTACATCAATTGCGACATTATATTATTAATATTAATGTGTATTTTTTATATATATCTCTAGCAAGTAACTTCATAATTCATTAAACATAGCAATTTCTTTTATCTCATTAGCAAAACTTCATAAACATTATGAAGCAAATATATAATTGATTTATAACATTATATCACCAAGGTGCATATAATCTTCATCATCATCTCCAGTAGACTTCCAATATATGCATATCATAAATTCCAACTTATTAATTAAGCATTCTAGTAATAAAATGACTTATGCCCATTGGAACAAACATTATATAAAGGTAATATTTATCAAAAAAATCTATCTCATTAGCTTTCTCCAATATTTTATTTAATACATCACCAGGTGTATCTTCTTCACCGTAAATTTGAACAATTTTAGTTATAATAAAACATCTAATAGCAACTCTAATGATTGTAAATAATATATTTATCTTGTTATGATTATTTAAAAACCCAGAAGTGATACGTGAGAATTGATGATCAAAACCTATTGTAATTAATCCTTTCATTACGATATCAACTGCAATACCAACATAATATGGATCAACCATACAATGAATTGTTTGTTCTAAAGTTGAATTATATTTGAATTCTAAACATATGATAATAATTGGTAATGAATCAATTATCAATGATGACAACGTATTAGAAGTAATATAATCGTCATGACGTGCTGCTTGATTTTGTTGCCTCAATTGATTCAAATCATTATTAAATCTATTAGCATTATCATTGATCCAATTAAAAGTTCTTGATATGAAACCTGGTTGGTTATTTGAAGTTTGATCTGTTGTTGTATTTGACTCATTTGATGTTGAGGTTGTTGTTTCATTTGTTGTTCCATTTGCTGTTTCATTTGTTCTTAAACTTGTTATTGAATTGAATTGATCAGGAAGATTTGAAAGTGCTTCAAGCCATCTTTGTCTTTCTCTTGGTGTCTTTGGTATATTATTAGATAAATCTTGAAAAGATTTAGTAACTTCATCAATTGATTTCTCTAAATTCTTCTTATATTCAAATTGTTTGTTTAGTAGTTCAAATAGTTCAATGTTTAGTTTTAATGATTGTCTATATAGATCTTCCAAGGGTTGTGAGGTATCAATTGATATATCCATTTTGTATTGTAGTATAACAGGTATATTATTATGGTTGATGGACTAGGCCTTAGCTGTGGAAAAGTTGGTATAAAGCTGAATTTTTTATAATATTTTAGTATTTCAGGGGGTTAAAAAAAAGGCAGCCATTGTTGAAACTTTCTATTGTTTGGAGATCTCAAGATCGAAAGCCGTATATCTCCGCAATATTGACAACAAATTTAAATCAACAATTAACATGATTTTGATTTATTTAAAAAGGATGATTAACTTGATTATATCGATCACAAGGTGTCAACTATATCATTTTGTGATTTAAAAGCTAAGTGATCTGTATAGGCTATACTCAATTAAGCGCCATATGTTGAAGATCGAGTTAATAAATCTGTATAAGACAATACAACATGCAGTCACATTTTCGTATAAACAATTCATAAACTTCAAGATCATAGATCATAATATATGTAGTATAAATTAACAAAAAATAATATATAATACATTAATCTATAAAGCTCTAGTACGTATAATTCATCTGCAAACATATGTAGGAGCTTTTATCATGACTATAAATGTGTAAGGCTTCATCAATCTATAGCAAAACTTCATATCAATTGGTGTACATTATAATCTCTATAGTTCTCATCATCTCTATAATCCCATGTTATCAATCATATATCATCAATTAGAAAGTCTATCAAAGAAGCTATTCATGAACATTGGACCAAACTTTATAGTAAAATAATAAAAACTATTGAAAAAATCCAAATCATTAACCTTTTCCAAAATTTTATTGACTAAATCACCAGGTGTATCTTCTTCGCCATAAATTTGAACAAGTTGAGCCACAATATAACATTTAATTATAGATTGGATCAATGATATTAAAACACCAGTTTTGAAATGATTATTTAAAAATCCATATATAGTACTTGATGATTGATAATCAAACCCTATTGTTAATAAACCATGCATTATGATTTCAACTCCCATACAAACATAATATGGATCAACCATACAATGAATACTTTTATCTAATTTTTTCATATAAGTAGTTTCAAAAAGCATTATGATTAATGGTAATACAGACATAAGGAATGATGGTCTAATTTCAGTGTTCCCATTAATTCGATTTTGATGACGTTGTTCAAGTATTTGATCTAATGAATTCCCAATACTGGTTATTCTATTATGAATCCCATTCAATATTGTTGAACTAAAAGTTTGGCGGTTATGTATAATTTTAATCATAAATGTTGAACCACTTGTTTCACTGGTGGTTGAATTTGTTAATTCATTTGTTCCATTTATTGGTATTTCATAATTGTCTTGAATATTATTCACATTATTTGAAGCTGATTCAAAAATCATTTGTTTTATAGTATCATATGATTTATTTTGATTGAAAGCATTTAAAACCTCAGTAATTGAATTAAACAATTGATAATTAATATGGATTTGATTGTTTAGTTGTCTTTGTAGTTTAATGTTTAATTCAGATGATTGTCTTAATTGTTCTTCAATTGGTTGTGAGGTGTCTATTGATTCATGCATTTTGTATTGTGGTATAAATATGTGATATTAATGGTTCATGAGCCGCTGTGTGTTTGAAGTGGAAAATTTTGGGTATATTGTTCTTTATATAAAAAATCTATTGTTAACAAATTTGGAGAGTTGCAATATCAACATCAATAAATTTAAGCGCCAGCTCAATGATTAAGAATATGTGATATCATAAAACTAAGAATGATAATCAGATACTCAATTATATTGTTCTCTGAATCAAAACTTTAGCGCTCCATTCATCTTCTTAACCGCCGTGTTATAAATCATACAACAATCATCAACATCTTCATAAAACATAAATTTAAATCATATACAATATAAGTCAAAAAATGTACTAATCTCTGAGGTTAATCACAATTTATTAGCAGATAATGATCTTTCAATAGTAGTAACATCATCATAAATCAAAGTTGTCAAGAAATCATGATATTTCTTACCACTAACATCATCTTTAAAGAAATTTGCAGCTTCATTAAATTTATGACCATTATTAGCCTTACCACTTAATTCTTGAACAACTTGTTTTAATAAACCCAAAGTATAATCAGCTGTTATAGTTTTACCTGAATCAGTTTTAGCACCATGTTTAACCCATTGATATAATTGAGATCTTGAGACTTCCGCGGTGGCAGCATCTTCCATTAAGAAATTAATTGGAACACAACCAATACCTCTTAACCAAGCTTCAATATAACTTAATCCAATGATTAAATTTGATTTAATACCTTGTTCAGTAATTTTAGCATTTGGAATAAAAGGTGATAATAAATCTCTTTGAGTTATTGGTTTATAATTTTCAATACCTTTTGAGGATTGAATTTGATTTGGTGTTAACATTTCTTTAAAAATTTCATTTGCAATTGGAGCTAAAGCAGGATGAGCAATCCAAGTACCATCATGACCAGCATTAAATTCTCTTAATTTATCCTTTTTAACATTTTCCATTGCAATTGAATTGGCTTTAGCGTCATTTTTAATTGGAATTTGTGCAGCCATACCACCCATTGCATGAACTTGTCTCTTGTGACATGTATAAATTAATAATTTAACATATGAAGACATGAATCCAACATTCATTGTAACTTGAGAACGATCAGGTAAGATAAAATCTGAATGATTTCTAAGGGATTTAATATATGAAAAAATATAATCCCAACGACCACAATTTAAACCTGAAGAATGATCTCTTAATTGATAAATAATTTCATCCATTTGAAACGCAGCAGGTAAAGTTTCAATTAAAACAGTTGCACGGATGGTACCTCTTGGAATATTTAAATAATCTTGTGAAACATTAAAAATATCATTCCATAATTTTGCTTCTAAATGATGTTCCATTTTTGGTAAATAAAAATATGGACCAAACCCTTGATTAATTGATTCTTTAGCATTATGATAAAAATATAAACCAAAATCCAAGATAGAACCACTAATTGGTTCACCATCAATTAAGATATGTTTTTCATCTAAATGCCATCCTCTTGGTCTAACAATTAAAGTTGGTAAATGCTTAGATAAATTTAATTTATATTCCTTGGTACCTTTTTTTGAAGTAATAGTTTTACGAACTGCATCATAAAGATTAACTTGTCCATCAATAACATTAAACCAAGTTGGAGTTGAAGAATCTTCTAAATCACACATATAAGTTGCAACATTTGCATTTAATGCATTAATTAACATTGTTCTTGAAGCAGGACCAGTAATTTCAACACGACGATCTTGTAATTTTGGACCTAATGATGGACCTTTCCAATTTGGATCATTTCTAATATATTCAGTTTCTGGTAGGAAATTTGGTAAAATTCCATCATCTCTTTTGGATTGTTCTAATTCACGATTTGATAATAATTGTTTTCTTGTTTTATTAAAAGAACGATGTAATATAGCAATAAATGATAAAGCATCAGAAGTTAATATATGTTTAGCATTTTCTGGGATTTTTGCTTTAATTTCAACACCTTTTAATAAATCTTGAGTATCTGGGAATGGATTGTTGTAGTTTGTCATATTGTTATTGATCTGTGGAGAATGGAGAAGGACTTGATTAAAATTTGATTATTCTGGGGATTCAATTGTTTATATACAAATCATTATTTCCATTCATACATTAAAACATTTGATATTTAAAATCTTGGAGCAATGGGCAATAACAGGTGATAGTGTCATAACTTTAATACCAGTATAAAATAATTTCGGTCAAAAGCTCAGAATTGAAATCAAATCAAATCATTCAAATCCGTTTCGGCGATGAACTTTTTAAAAATTGGAGATAAGGAAAAGAAACAGAGTCAAGATTGTGTATGTAATGGATTATGTAATGTTTGGGTTGGATGGAAGTCAGAGTCAATATTGGATATTTAACCGCTGAATAAACAACTGATGATTTTATGGTTTAAATGGTTTAAATGGTTTTATGGTTTTAATGGTTTATACTGATGGAATACTAAGTCTAATCAAGTACCAAGGCCATGGTATATACATGGTCATTGAGACATGGCATCTGATCAGTACCATGTGGAAGTGAACGTCTGTCTAGTAGCAGCTCATATAGTACGGTGCTTACGAGCAATAGACGTTATCAATCACATACACAATCACTTGTACACTCATTGTACGTCAATTCCACTGATCTGATATATTCTTCTAGTTCTTCTTTCCACTGATGGTGAATTTGTTTAAGAACAACTGAATTTATTTAAATTTTGTAGTATTTGAAATTGACACAAAGCACTTTGAATTTTCGTGTCTGTACCAGATTTCAGTCAGTATTGATTATGTAAGGATAATATAATCATAAATAAATGTGTATATTTACACAATTACATGAAATTGACTATGCTTTATTAACTAATAGTCAATAAGTAATATCCATACACAATATATATCAGCTTCAAGTCCTCTTCCATCATTACAATTAACCATAGTGTCTTGTAATGATGTATTATTATACTATGTATGCTTAGTAATATCACACATATTGATTACATAACCCAATATTAAAATATTATAGCCGCGAATTCCGTCACCTTTATCAAAATTATGATATTGCGGATGAAATTATAAATAACTTTTATTATTTTATCAATACAATTACATCTAATCACAATTAAATCACAACTATAGAATCAATAATATATTAATAACTGATCAGAAACCATAACCATCGCCTTCCCAAACAACCATCCAACCACCATTATCAACCAATTTCAATAAAGAAACAATGGGTCAATATACTAGTAGAATTACTAATATCCATTCAAATGATACATCATCAACATCATCATCGCCTCAAACTTCAACTTCATCATCATCATCAAACTCAAATTCAAACTTAAACAATTCAACAACTACAACAACAAATAATAGTCAATCATCTTTAGATCAACTTCCCAATAATTTACCATCTATTGAATCTCAAAATAATTCAATAAGAAGAAGACGTTCTTCAACTTATAATACTTCATCTTTACCAAACCCAAGAAGAAGAAGATTACCAAGATTACAAGATACTTTAAGATTTTGGCAAAGAAGACAACAAGGTAATCAACAACAATCTAATCAATCGGATCTTGATAGAGATACTGATTCTGATGATTTATTATCAAATTTTATAAATGAATTAGAATCTGATTCAAATCTAAGATCTAATCAAAGATCAAGTTCAAATTCAAATGATCCTTTAGATATATCAAATTTAGCTGGATTAGCTTCAAATATCCTTTCATCTCAACAACGTCATCAAAATCAACATCAACATCAACAACAACATGATCACACCAGCTCATCATCATCAAATTCAATGTCATTTGAACATCAAACTGAAATGTTATCAAGATTATTAGAAATTGCAGCAACTTCAACAGTATCAAATCTTATGGGTTCATCACAAGTTAATGGACGTAGATTTGATAATACTTCAAGATTATCAAATCAAAGAGTTTTGAATAATAATTTTAATACAATTGAAGCTAATGGATTTGATTCTAATTTTCAAGAATTTGTTAATGCTTTAAGACATGGTTTATTAACTAATGAATTAAATGAAAGATATAATCAAGATAATGATAGAAATTTAGATCGATTAAATGATATGACTTTTTTTAGAGCTTTTAGATTTGATAGTGAACAAATTAATTCAAATCATGGAAATCATGAAGATATAAATGATATTGAAGGTGATAATAATGATAATAATGATACCAGTGAAACCAATACCAATAGATTAATTAATAATGATGTTAATAATCCAAATGTTCCAGTTATGATTATTGGTGTTAGAAGTGTGGAAAATCATGATTTAAATGATGAATTTACAGGAATTAGAAATAATAGAAGTGATGGTAATAATGATAATGATAATAATAATGATACAATTGATACAAATGACTCTGGAACGAATTCAAGTTCCAATGATGAAAGAAATTCAACAACTGATACAACTAATACAACAAATACAACTGATTCAAATTCAAATTCAAATCCAAGATCTTGGGTTATATTTGTAATGGGTAATACATTTGCTTGGAATCATCCATTATTATCCGCTCCATCTTTAATGAGTGAAAATCCAACTTATGAAGATTTATTAAATTTACAAGAATTAATTGGTCAAGTTAAACCTCAAGTTACAACAAAAGAAGAATTACAAGAACAAAATGATCAATTATTTGAATTAATTGATCAATCCACAAATCAATCAACAACAGACCTAAAAACTATTGAATTAAATTCTTTATTAGATGAAAGATGTCAAATTTGTTTGGAAAATTTTGAATTAAATCAAATTTTAAGAAATTTAAAAAATTGTAATCATAAATATCATAAAGATTGTATTGATAATTGGTTATTAAATGGGAAAAATAATTGTCCTCTTTGTAGATCAAAAGGGATTATCAATATTAAAAAAGATGAACATGAAAAAGAATTAGATCAAATGGAGGAAATAGAGGAAAATCAAACTGGTGTTATGGGTTCAACAGGTATGTCAAGTCTTTAGTATTGTTACTACAGATTATATGGATATAAGGGGTTTGTTTATATTATATAGGGTATATATATAGGAGTTATTTTAAAATAAATTTAAATTAAAATCAAATTCATTCCAAAATCCAACTAATAAAGTTCTTTCATTATATTTTATACCATTAATTTCATTTAAAATTTTTTGTGCTTTTGATTCATTTGAAAATTTTATAAAAATTTTACCTACTGATTTATCTAAATTTTTCAAATTTCTTTTATATGTTGAATCTGGTTTAGGTATTTTAATTTCAATTGAATTTTCATTACTTGCATCATACTCATTTAATTTTTGTTCAAAATCTTTAAATAATTCTTCATAAATTATTGGATTTTTTAAATCTTCTGGATTTATTGCATTTAATATAACTAAAACTTTACTCTTTGTTAAAGTGGTATTAGTAGTATTAGATTCAACTAATTTTGATATTGTTCTATAACTAAAACTTTCCAATTGTTTTGGTAATCCTAAACATGGTTGAAATGCAAATAATGTATTTTCATTAATAACAATCTTATTAATTAATTCAATTGATTTTTCTGGTGCTAGGGAATTAAATTCAACAAATACTAAACCTTTTGAAACACCATCTTTATCTATAAGGAAATCCATAGCTTTAATTGAATCAATTTCTTGTAAATCTTCAAAAATTTCAAATTTTTTAATATCTTGTGGGATATTTGTTATTGCAATTTTAAATTCTGAATCCTTAACATTAAAATCTGATTCTTTTACAGCCCCATTGGTTTCATCATCTTTTTGTGGGATTGGTGTTATATAACCTTTTGGTCTATCAATTTGAATTTTTAAATTTAATTCATTTTGAAAATTTTTAAAATTTGATTTTAAAATTGTGGTAATTTCAATATTTGATAATCCAATAACTAAATATTTTAAATCAATTAATTCATAATCAACAATAAAAGCATTTGATAAACCTAAATTATTAATAAAATTTGTTAAATAATCAATTAATCTTTGAACTGGGAATAATGAAAATTCAATACCTGTTATAACTAATTTTTTAGAAAATCTTGATGAATTTGAATCAATACTTACTTGTTCAAATAAAATTGATGTTTGACTATTTAAATCACCTCCTTTAACTAAACCTTGTAATTTTGATATATCAATACGTTTACGTTCACCAGGTAATGGGAATAATCCTGAAATTTTTGCACGTTCTGATGAAATTTTTTCAAAACCTTTTGGTTTTATATCCCATAATGATATATTTCTTTCTAATTTATCGATGGGTATGATTTTAGATAAATCTTCTTGATCATAATTTGATTCTTCGTAATAATCTGGTTCATCTCTTGATCTATAACTATCTCCATGATAGCTATCATAACCACCGCCATTATAACGACCTGAACGATCTCTCCAATCTCTTGTATCTCTTTCCCTATATCTATAGTTAGACCCTCTGTTATCATATCTATCATCTCTATATCTTGAAGATCTATTATCTGTAGATCTATAATCTCTTCTTTCTCTTCCACCATAATCACGAGTTGATTCAATTCTTCTATCATGTTGATCATTTCTACTATACCCACCTGATTCACCTCTTCTATATCCACCACTGTTACTACTGGCACTACTTGGTCCACTTGGTCCACTTGGTCCACTTGGAGCTATACCTCTTGAATCTCTTTCTCTAAAACTTGGTTTATGATCTGAAGGTTTCTCATCTCTTTGATCTCTTCTTGAATAACTAGAACTTGAACTTAATGAAGGTGAACCACTTCTTCCTCTATCTTCATTAGATCTTCTACTATATGCATCATTTGAAGTTGAAGGTCTTGGAGATCCTAAAGTACCAGATGAAGATGGTTTTGGATGTGATTGTTGTAATGTATTTTGAGATTGTTCTCTTAATACTTTGATAATGTTAGTATATGAATGGTATCAAGCCAACAATAAGTTTAAAGACTTACGCTTCTGTTTCAAAGCTTCCAGGACGTTATTAGTACTCATTTCTTCTTGAAATTTTGAATTGAATGTATACTTTTTGCTATTCCATGTTATTATGGTATACTTCTTCTTTTCAATACGTAGTTTTTTTTAATAACGAGGGCGATTTTTTTTCAATTGCCTAATTAGGAAATCTAACAAAAGGGGAATCTGGGAGGTAAAGTCGAAATTAGTGGGATGATCAAGGATAGTCATCATATATAACTTATATCATCATATTCTTTGTAGTTATTGTTATACTATAAAGTTTTTAAAAATTCTAAATTACTCAATATTAAGGAAAATACATGCAAAATTGCTCTCATTTTATGCCAGCTTCCATACAAACTCTTAACTTTCTTCCCAGTCACATGACCCCTGAGTCACCTGATCTAAACACCGGGTAAATTTTAATTTGGTAAAACCCACACACCCTTTTGATGACGTAATTTCTGGCACATTTTAATATTTTGATTTCAATTTTCAACACGTAACACGAAACTTTGGTAAGACATATAATTGAACTTGACAGATCATCAAAATTATAATACAGAACTTCAATTCAAAGATATTTGTCTTCTTTTTTTGCTGGTTGGTTTCAATTTGGTGGCTATAAGATAAATTTGAATTGAAAATGATAATAAGGAATTGTTTAATACTATTCACAATCATTACATGTGCATTAAGTGCCATTTTAGGTATTGATTTTGGTCAAGATTTCACTAAATCAGCTTTAATTGCACCAGGTGTTCCTTTTGAAATCGTACTAAGTTCAGATTCAAAACGTAAAGAACCTTCAGGTTTAGCATTGAAAAAATTAAATCAAGATGAAATTGAAAGAATTTATGGTCCTGGTACAAGTTCTCATTGTACAAGATTCCCAAATACTTGTTTATTAAATTTAAAACCATTATTAGGTAAATCTATTGATGATCCTGCTGTTTCTAGTTATATTTCAACTCATCCAGGTGTTAAAATTGTTCCATCTAAAAATAATAGACAAACTATTGCATTTGAAATAAATAATTATCATTATCCAATTGAAGAAATTATTGCAATGAGTTTCCAAGATATTGTATCAAGAGCTTCTGAAACTTTAAAAGAGAAAACTCCAGGTGGGTATTCTCAAATTAATGATGTTGTTATTACAATCCCAAGTTATTTCAATCAAGCTCAAAGATTAGCTTTAAAAGATAGTGCTGAATTAGCTGGTTTAAAAGTTATTGGTTTAGTTGATGATGGATTAGCAATTGCTATAAATTATGCTACAAATCGTGATATTACTGAAGATAAAGAATATCATATCATTTATGATATGGGATCTGGTTCCACAACTGCAACTTTAGTTTCTTTCACTAAAAATGGTACAGAACCTTTAAATATTAAAGTTGAAGGTTATTCACATGATGAATCATTAGGTGGTTCATTATTTACAAATGCAGTTTATGAAATTTTAAAAAATAAATTCTTGGAACAACATTCAAATATTAAAACTGAAAAATTTTTATCAAATAATAGAGCTATTGCTAAAATTTTACAAAGTTCTGAAAAGGCAAAATTAGTTTTAAGTGCAAATAATGATGCTTCTGTTTCAATTGAAAGTTTATATGATGATATTGATTTTAGAACCAAGATTACAAGAGAAGAATTCGAAGAATATGTTGGTGATTTATCTAAAAGAATTACAAATCCAATCTTGAATATTTTCAGTAATCAATTTGATGATGAATTAGAATTAACTTTAAAAGATGTTAAATCTGTTATATATGCAGGTGGTTCAACTCGTATTCCATTTGTTCAATCACATTTATTATCACTTATTGGTGAAGATAAAGTTTCTAAAACTATTAATGCAGATGAATCAGCTGTTGTTGGTGCTACTTTACGTGGTGTTCAAATTTCTAAAATGTTTAAAACAAAACAATTAAACGTTTCTGAAGCTTCAGTTTATAATTATGAATTCGCAATTAGTGGTGATGATGAAGATGAAATAAAACAAGTTGTTTTCCCTAAAGGTTCATCATATAATCAAATTAAAGAAATTGAATTAACAAAATTATTCAATACATCAAAGGATTTCACAATTGATTTATATGAAGAATCAAAATTATATGGACAATATATTTCAAGTGATGTTTTATCTTCAATTAAGAAATTAGATTTTAATTCATCTGAATGTTCAAATGGTGCTAAAATTTATGGGAAATTTAAATTAAGTGAAAGTCGTATTTTCACATTAGAATCAATTCAAGCAAGATGTGAAGGTGAAACTAATGAAGATATTAATGACGATGAAGGTAAATCATCAGGATTTTTCGATAAATTGAAAAATAAAAAAGATTCTCAACAACAAGATGATGAATCAAATCAAAAAATTTTAAAACCAAAAATTTCAAATTTGAAAACTTTATTACCAACAAAATTAAAATATGCATCTTCAAGACCTTTAGGATCTGCAACTAAACAAGAATTAAGATCTCATTTACATTTATTAAATTCTAAAGATCTTCAAAGAAGACAACGTTCAGAAAAATTAAATGAGTTGGAAGCTATTTTATATAAAGTTCGTGCATTTATTGAAGAAGAAGAAGTTATTGAAAAAGGTCCAAGTGAAATTATTGAAAATTTAAATTCTAAAATTTCTGAAGATTTAGAATGGTTAGATTATGATAGTGATGATGCAACAATTAAAGATATAAAGAAAAAAATTGAATCAATTAAAAATGAATATAATCAAATTGAAAAATTTATGGAAAATTTAAATATTCCATTAGATTCTGAAGCTTTCCAAATTTTACATAAAGAAGGTGTTGTTGCATTAAATTCAATTCAAGATTTTATTTTAACAATGGGTGAAACTGCAGCTGGATTATTAAGAAATTTCACAGAAGTTGGATTAGATTTTGAAAAAGAATCCAAAAAGGTTAAATTGAGAAGTCCAGATTATTCACAACAAGAAATTGAAGATAATTCAAAAGAATTTGTTCAAATTTTTAACAAAATTAAAGAATTATATGAAAATCCAAAAATTTTAGAATCTAAATCAAGAGAAGAATTATTTAAATTAAGAACTGAAGCATTACAAAAAATTGAAAAAACAGAATTAATTAAAAAAAATCTTCAATCTGTTGAATCTCAAAGATTAAGAGAAATGAATGGTATTTTACAAAGATTTTTCAGAGCTCAAAGAAGAGCAGCTGCTAAAGCTGCTTCAAAGGCAAAAGCTGAAGCTGAAGCTGAACAAACTGAAGCTACTGAAACTACTGAAGTTGAAACTGCTACAGAAACTAATAATGTTGAAGAAGAATCAACAATTAGTGAAGAATCAGAAGCAGAACCTACTTCAACAAAACAAGCATTAGAGCATGATGAGTTGTGATTTATAACCAACTCAAGTATAATAATATAATCGTATAAATATATATAATCGTTTTAATTCATGAATTTAGCTGATTTTATTGAAGAAAAGTAGTTTTAAATTGAAATAAAATATTGTTGATTTTGTGCTTATGTTTTTACGTAATCACTTACGTCATCGAGGTTCCATAAAAACCAAAACAAATAAATTTAACAATCTGATAATAAGTAAATCTTGATGATCTTGATCTTGATATTTTGATCTTGATCTTCTAACACTAACAAATTATATTTGCTATACTTCAAGCTGAATCGGATTCAAAGTGGCCATAATGTCAAATCCCAGCACTCCACAGACTCAAAAATCAAAGCCTGTCGTAAGGCAATCACCAAAACCACTAAGTACTCCTGAAAGCTCATCAAAAGGTCTCAATATCTTGTTACAAAACGCAGTGGCAAATTCTAGACCTCCTAGTCCAATAAGTGCTGTTTTCCTTGTTCAATTTGATGTGAAATCTGGTTATGTCTTGAAATGGAGTAAAACTGTTGATAAAAACTTATCATTAAAAGGAGTTGAATTTAAAAGTTTACCCTCTGGATTACATGAAGTTGAAAGAGATGTTATATCATTTGTTCAAATCAAAGATAATGATTCAACTTCTGTCAATGGTGATTCCACTACTGATACTTCAGATTCAAACCCATTTGATAATTTACTTTATGGTGTTTCAGTATTTCATCAAAATTTAGGTGAAGCTTTTGGTAATCAAAGAAATAAAGTTAAAATGTTCTCATTAGGTATATTAGTTGATCCATTAGGTCAAATCCAATCAAATTCTGGGGTTTCTAAATTTACAGGTGACTTACCAGCTTGGAGACCAATGTATTATACAACAGGTTTAGAATATGTTGATCAATTGCATAAATTATTAGATGAATGGGATAATAATAATTTAAATGATTTTGCCAAATTTGAAGAATTTTTCGATAAACATTCACCAAAAATTGATTTGTTGGATATAATAAGTGCAAAATCACCAAAATCTTCAAATTTACCAAAATTGGATACTCAAACTGGTCAATTTTCCTTAATTGAAAAACATCATAGTCATCATTTCTTGTTGAAAATAACAGAATTATTACGTTCTTTAGGACCATTAGTATTTAAAGTCTGGAGATCTGCTTTATTAAGAGAAAGAATATTACTTTTCGATGCTCCAAGTGTGGAATTAAATTGTGCTTATGCATATTGTTTATCAGTTTTATCAACAATACCACAAGAAATCCATTGGTTATTAAATGAAAGTGGCTGTTGGGCAACTCAGGCTTTACAATTCATTCAACCTGTTTATTCAATAGGTGTTAATGATATAGATTGGCTAAAATCATTAGTTGATCCTTCATTGGGTAATAACAGCAACACTAATAAAAAATCAAGTTTTATTGCCTCTACAACAGATGAAATATTATTATTTAAAAACACTCTTTATGATATATCGGTTCGATTGAATCAACCTCATCATATTAATAATAGTACAATTCCAAAAATTTTCCTTTCTGATGCTTCATTACCAGGTTCATTAAATACAGATCCATTAAAAGCTACTCAAAGAGATTTGAAAAGATTTAGAATTTTATCTAAAGAATTCGGTTTAAATGATCATATTAATCAAAATGAAACTTTAAGTACACAAGAAGCTAGAGTTAAAACAAGTGATAGTAATGATTTACCTGTGGATGAATCAACTGTAATTAATGATGAAGAAATAATACCTGAAATTTTACCATGGTGGACTGAAGTTTCTGAACCAACTTCTTGGAGACAATTAGCATGGTCAGGTTTTTATTGGTGGGCATCTGCAGGTGAAAAGGAAAAAATTGAAGAAGAACAAGAATTAGAAGGTTTAAATGAATTAAATGAATCAAATAAACAAAATGAAATTGAACAATCATTAATTCTTGTTGGATATTTCCAAAATATGACTAAAAGAGTTTTCACCACAATTGCAGATATAATTAATAATGAAAATGAATCAAATGATGATGCAGATGAATTAGTTGATAAAACTATATGGATTGAACCAGCTGATGTTTTCGAAATGGGGCTTGATCCTTATTCCAAACAAGATGCTGAATTTGTTGTTAAATTAATTCAACTTTGGTGGAATAGAAAAGCTCAAGTTGGTTCAAGATTAACAAACTTGTGTTGTTTTTGATTAATCATGAGATGCACTAATATAAATAACGAATAATAATTTAATGACCCTTTTACGACGAATATATTCTTCTACATTCATTTTTTTTTTAATTAATGATTTATAATTTAAAACAAATTGTATATTGTACAAAGCAAAGTATATATAATATATGTTAGAAACAGAACTGAAGAACAACGAAAAAAAAACACTATTTTTGACATATTTTCAAGATAAAGTGTACATCTTGTTTGATTATTTTATTCATATCAATAACCAAGTTGCAATACCAATGATTGAAAATGCAATAATACACGTTATAATTGCAGCACCTGCTTTATCACCACCATCAATACTTAAAGGACTTAAATTTGTACTTGAAGTTTCTGTACCAGCAGCACCTGAACCATGAGAAGTACCACCAGTTGAATTTGTAACTGGAGCTGGTCTATCACGAATTCTTAAATTTTGCATAACTTCTAATGCAGCCATTTGTTCACCCATTCCGTAATAACCATCCCAACCTGAATGAGACCAATCTAAACCACAAGTATTACCATCAGAACCACCAGAACATGAATTTGATGCAGCTCTTGCAGAAGCTTCTAATAATTCATAAATATGATCATAAGTTTCTGGAACCATTTGAGCAGTTAAACCTAAAAATCTTGAAAAAAATGCTTTAAATGATCTTTGATCATTATTACAATTATTTGAATTTTGACATGCAACTTCATACATGACTGAATTATTGAAAAAAACACTTGAACTTGATAAATATCTCATAGTTCTATTTAACCAAATATCTTTACCAGTATAATTATATAAATAAGCAGCACCAGACATCATTAAACCTTGATTATAAGTCCATTGTAATTTAACCGGTTCGGAACAATTATCACCAATATTAACACCATCATAAACGAAATAATAATCACCTTCGGTCATTAATCCAGTACCTTCCATCCAATCATGAACTTTTTCAGCCCAATCAACATAAGAATCATTACCAGTATATCTTGCTAATCTTGCAGCAATATTAAATAAACAACCATTAGAAACAGCATTTTTATAATCATAACCTGAATTCCATTCGAAAATTTGCCATCTAAGACCACCATGACAATGATCACCATCCCATCTTGAAGCCATTGTATTAAAAACAGCTTGAGCTAAATATAACCATTGTGGTTGATCATCATCAGGATCAGGGAATTTTCTTTCAGCAGCAGCCATTACAGCAATCCCCCAAAACCCTTGATCATCATTACCTTCAGTTGTAGATTGATTTAATGGAACATAATCCCAATTATCACCAGCTTGAGCTAATAAGGCTTCTTTTGTCATATCTAAATAAGTATCATTTTCCATATAAAACCAAAAATCAATCATTGATCCCCAAGCACCACCGGCTTCCCACCAATAGTAAGGGTTTGAGAACATACCAATAGGTTTACCATAATCACGACCATTGTAATAGTTTAATAACCCATCAGCCACGATACCGGTAACTTCTTTTAAATTTGTTAAATTATCTGGTGTTAGCCAAACACAAGAAACGCAGCCAAGCAATGAAATCAACGTAGTCAAGGAAGAAATAGCTTGTAACTTCATCTTGACACTCAATAATTATCTATGATCTGATTCTGATTTAATTTGATGTTTTGTATCTATTAATTTTAATTTTGAATCCCTTATTTATGGTTCAGTAATCAAGTATATCTAGTTTTTGTCCTAATTCTATTTAAAGAATTACTTTTTTCTCAAATTTAAAGTTTAATTTGAATAATAAGATCTTGATGAATAATAAAATGAAATATTAATGAATGATATGTGATATTATTGTATCTGAGTTCACTGTGTGTATGTTTTGAACCAGTTGTTCCAAGCGATGGTGAAGAATTCAACAACTCCTTTGGTCTTCTCAAAAAGATGTCTATGATACGAAAATCTTTATAAAATTGAAGCTATGTTTCCTGTGAAATTTTAGAAAAAAAAGGGCGAATTCGCGTTTTGCACAAGGGAATTACCGGACTTGGCTTATTCGCACTGCCAAGTATCCGAATTAGGTATATCTTTTACGCCGATGATGAAAATAACGAAAATTACAAATCACTACCCAGATCAGGGAATTTGCGAAATTATAAAAACGAAAAAAACAAAATTTCGCGAATTAAAAATTAAAATTAAAAAAAAAAATCAAATGTGTATAAACTTTTTGTATACAAAAATCATAGAAATTTGTTAAAATTGAAGAAGTTGAATAGTTGATTAATAGACACAATGTCAGAGCGTAAAGTGATCAACAAATACTATCCACCGGATTTTGATCCGTCAAAAATAGTGAAGAAGAAGAAGAAAGTGAAAACCGGCTCTGCTAGTTTACCAACAGTTAGATTAATGACTCCATTTTCAATGAAATGTTTAAATTGTGGTGAATATATTTCTAGATCAAGAAAATTCAATGCTAGAAAGGAAAACACAAGTGAAACTTATCTTGGCATGAAAATTGTTAGATTTCATATCAAATGTCCAAGATGTGCAAGTGAAATTTTATTTAGAACTGATCCAAAAAGTGCAGATTATGTTATTGAATTTGGTGCTCAAAAAAATTATGATTCTGGTAATACAAATAAATTAATGAAAGAAGAAACATTAGAGGATACCTTAGCAAGATTGGAAAAAGAAGAAGAAGAAGCAAAATTGAAAGAATTACAAAAAGATAAAAAACAAACATCTTTAGAAGAATTAGAGGCAAAATTAAATGATATAAGGCATCAACAAGAATTAAGTGAACAAATTGATGATTTGAGAGAAAGAAATTCAAGATTAAATGATTTAGCCAAAGATGCACAATATCAAAATGAATTAAAAGCGAAATTGAGAGCATCCGAAGAAGAAAAATTACAAAAACAAAATGAAGAAGATGAACGTTTAGCTGAAGAAGCATTTAATCAAACAAAATTAGGAATAATTAAACCTAAATCAACTATAAATTCTATAACAAAACAAAATAAAATTGAAATACATAACAAAAATGATGATAATAACGATAATAATGATGATAATGATGAACATAATGATGATGATAATAATATAACTGACAATAATGACAAATCACAAAAAGAGAATGACTCTGATTCTGATTCTGATTCTGATGGATATGAACAACCTTTATTCACAAAAGCACCTGAACCTCCTAAAAAATTGACACTTAAAAGAAAATCTAATTCATTGGGTATTTCTGTTAAAAAATCCAAAACTTGATCTTTTCAAAAATCAATGAAGTTTACACCATTCTCTACCATGATCTACTTGATAATTACACAAGTTTGGTTCCAACCATAGACCAATCAATGCAGATATAACAATACCACCAGAATCACTCATTGAAGTTGCACCAAGTGAAAATTCACGATCTTTTTCAGGAACTGTATCAATAACTAGCATAAATGTATTGACATAAGCTGCACCACCTAATAATCCTTCATAAAATACAATCAACATTATTAAATAGACATTTGGAATATAATAATATAATGATTGTAACACTAATACAACCAAATTAATAGATTGTAATATTGTAGGAATATAAAGATTTCTAATTCTTATAAAAGTTGCTGAAGAACGTGAAATGAAAACACCTAATTGATATAACGTACCGTATGCAACATAGACATCTCTAAATGCCTTGAATGGCATCTCTTCTAATGGAAATAATAAAGTTGGTGCAACTGATTGATTTATGAGATATTCTGCTAAATAAACTGTTGATAATGGAATCATAAATGGTATAATCAATTTTTTCAATTTTCCAATTGTATTTGTGATATGTCTTTGTAAATCAAATTTAGTTGATATTGAAGTAGGTTGAGTTTCTAATTGTTCTGTAGATGGTGATGAAGATGGTGGTGTTTCCACTGGCTGATAATTATGAACTGCTGGTAATTTATAATAATATAAAAATCCAAATGGGAAAATACTAAATAATAATAATGAACTTTGAACACTTATTCCAATTACCGTAGTTAACAACATATAGATTCCACTTCCAATTAATCCTGCACCTCCAGTACCTGAACTCCAACCATTGAGACCAGTTTCACCATAAAAATGTGTAAGTTGTAAAAATGTAATTTCTCCTAATCCTGAACTTAATGATGCTAAAATAATCCCTAATATTTTCAGTCCTAAAGAGCCAAATGTAACCAGTAACATACCAATGACACTTAAGACAATCAATGAAGCAATTCTTTTAGGATAAGGAATCAAATGAATGAAAAAGGGGGCTGATATTTTGATTAAGAAAGCTGGTAAAATATCAGCTAAAAGAACGGTGGCCTTGGGAATTAAAGGACCCACCAAATCCACTGCAGCTGATAAGATCACCACATAAAGCACATTGTTTAGCAGTCCAAAAAGCCAAAACGATGAATAGACTCGATCAATAGCCATGGTTTTCTTCCCCTTGTACGCTTATCTAGCACCCTATTGTTGAATGTTTACGGAAGTTTCAAGATAAGGAATTGAATTTTCAAAACATCTATCGCGACTATTGTTCTAGTCTACAATCTTACAGGCTATTAGATACTCTATCCTAAATGCTTATATTAAAGTACATCATCTTTTTAACGCTTCGAATCTCTTTCTCAATGCATCCAAATCGTTATCCTCTTTTGTTGTTGGTTTAGTTCCCACATCACTTGGACGTTTCTTCTTGGTGACGTTTTTTTGAACATCATCAGGAATTTTAACAGATGGATTTGGATTATCACTAGATTTATGAGGTGGTCGTATAGAAATTGGTGATTTCTTAACTTCATTTGGATTTGGTAAACTATGTGCAGAAAGTTTTCTTGGTGTAGACATTCTTTCAGTTTCTGGATAATCTTCTAAAGGTTCTTCTAATTGAATTGGTTTCCCACTACCACCTTCATCGTCATCATCTTCATCATCTTCATCCAGGTCTTCAAGTTCATTATCTATCTCATCATCTAACTCACTGAATGGTACTTCATATGCTTTCGCAATCTCTTTTAAATATAATGAAACAAGTTCTTGTGAAGGAGCTTCAACGGCTGTTCTCTTGGTAATCTTCTCTGGAATAACATTATCTTCATTCTCAATAGCTGAACGTGCAAATTCAGCACCAAATTTATGAATAAGTATATCCCTGACTGAATTGACTTCTTTTAAATCAGTATGTGGTGCTGAATAAATGATCGTCTTAACAGCTTCCTCCAAGCCTGGATCGCATTCCTTCTTATCCAAAAGACCAATTCTGGCTAAAAGTAGTTCACAATATAGTTCAAGCATTTCCAAGAGTTCCACATAGATATCTTCACGAACAATGTTTTCCACTCTAATTTTAGCACTTTCTTCTTTACCTAATGATAAAAGTTCAGCCATCTATTACAAAATGTTAGTAAAATAATAAATATATATCAAAGGAAATTATGAAGACTCACTTGTCTTCTCTGTTGCTTAGCTAAAGCTAATCTCTTTGTTTGTGTAAACCTAAGCTTACTTATGGCCATCTTTAATGAGACTTTAAGTCTTCCCTTTTGTTGATTCATGTTAGTATAAAGATCTTAGCAATTCATCAATGTTTTGTAACTTACTTGTAAGGATATTGACGGAGCCATGATATATTTCAACTCTATTAAGGCTCTCTTATATAATTGGACTGAAAATGGCCACTTTAAAAGGGGTTTTGTTGTACAATTGTTTGTTTTAGAATCAACTGTTATTATAGATTTGGAAGCCCCCTTAAGTTTCAAAATCACCAATATTTTCTGGAGAAATTAGCGATGATTATGTAAATAAAGTAAGGGAGATTAGTAATCTACATAAATGAAACATTATAAGTTTATAAAAATACACGTTATCATTACTTCATTAAATGGTTAAATAGTCCTCCATGATCTTATTTGAAAGACGGGTGTTCCCACTTTCATTATAAATCAGGATCAAGTTATATGCTGCTGGTCTTTTCAAATCTTCTTCTATATCTAAATCATCAAATGAAGTTAAAACTTGGTTATAGTATTCAACTGCAATTGAAAATAACCCTAATAAATGATAGACTCTTGCAACGTTATAAGCTGCTTCCTGGTGTTCTAGTCTTTCAAAATTTTTAGAGTTTCTAAGTTCATAATACTCAAAAATGAATTTTAAACCTTGAAGTAATTCTAAATGACGATTTGATGAAGATCTTTGCATAGATCTATGAACATGTGCTAAACCTGCATTTAAACAAACAATTGGTTCATTTTTGAAAGATTTATAGATTCTTGTGAAATATACTAAACTTGGAACATAACTTCTGTTTGTAAATAACAAACAAGCATAAATATACATCAAATAGGCATTATCATGACCTTCAGTTTTAGCACCTGTATTTGTAATTGTTGCCATACCTGTTATTGATTTATTGTTTTGATTCAACGAATCATAAGCTTTAATTTGTCTCAAAAAATATTTTTGATGATTGATTGAAATAAAATTTTCTGTACAAATTTTACCTGATGGTTGACATAATAAAAATAATTTCAAAACTTTTTTATGAAATTGGAAACTATTCAATACTATTCTTAGTGAAAGTAACATCTCTTTATTATCTTGAGTTTTCAAAGAAACAGCAAGTTTAACCATATTCATAATCTCTTCACGTTCTTTGTTTTGATAGAAAACATTAATATTTTTAGCATTATCAACAATACTACTGGCATCAATTGGGTTGTCATATTTAGCAACTGCTAGTGCATATTGCATGAAAAGTTCAAACCATTGTTGATATTTCAAGCCTCTATATTCTTCAGTTGCAGTAATACTAATTCTTTCTTCATTTTTTGAAGTAAAACCTTGATATAATTGAGAAATTCTTTCAATTTTAGATTCAATGTCCATTTTAATTCTTCTTGTTCTTGTAATTATACCTCTAAATTTTATTGAACGATCTCTAGAAAAAAAATTCTTAACGTTGGAAAAAAGTTCAATCAATTCTGATGCCAATTGAATCCATGTTGTAGCTGCAATTGGATCACCTTCTTCTAAACCAATGTGAAGTCTCTGTAATCTGTTATATTTATCTAACACATTCCGTTTGATTTTAGCATCTCTTTCTTGTTTCTCAGCTTCTGTTAATTTTCCCTTTTTTGGTACTCTCAAAGTATTATTTTGAATCAAAGCCAACTCGTCATTTATTGAAGTAAACGGATGGTCTTGCTCAGGTGATTTAGATCTATTATCAGTGTCAGCATCAGCATCAGCATCAACAGCATCATCAGCATCATCGTGTATAGATTTCTTTGATACGCTTCTCTTTTTGTTGATTGCTTCCAATAAGTGTTGAGATTCTTCAAATTCTTCAAGATAGTATAAAACTTCAACTAATGCTAATTGTATATCTATATTTTCAGGGTCTAATTCTTGTGCAAATGAATAATATTCTTTAGCATCTTCATATTTACCAAGCTCTGTGAAACATCTACCCAATGAAGTGAAAAGTTCCGGGATTTGAAATTCATCAAGTCTACTTAAAGGTAAATAAAATTTAACTGCATCACTGAATAGTTGAACTTCTTCAAGTTTAGTACCAGCATCTGAATATAAATCAGCCATTTCTTCAAGATCTTCATTCAGTAAGAATCCAAAATGAATCAATGCTTCCTCGGTATGATTCAGTCTTAATCTTAAAGATCCTAATTTAACTCTTATATCAATTGGTAATTTATGTGATCTAGTTTTGAGAACATCTGATAATGCTTCAAATTTGAAGTTTTCATATCTTCTTTCGTCAAATTCAGAATCATCATTGACATCTTCCCAAAATTCTTCATCTTCTCTTCTTTGTATCCAACGAGAAATTTGTTTAATGGTTTTAACTGCAATAGCATGATTTTTCTGTTTGACGAATAACTCAGCTAAAATGTTCAACATTGACCAATTGAATACTGGGAATATTTCTGAACCTGAATCTTCTTCTTCCTCTTCATCTTCATCGGACGCATCTAAATAATTATTATCATCATCTTTCAATCTTTTAGCAACATTTCTTTCATAAATCTTTAAATACATGGCAATTGCATCATTAACTCTATTAAGTTGAATATAAATCAATGCTAATTCTCTGACAACATCAGATTCACCAGGATAAATTTTTTGTAATTTTTGAAAATTTTCTAATGATCTACCCAATTGACCAACTTCCCTGTATAACAAAGCTCTTTGATACAAGACATCATAAGTTTTATGTTTAGCAGTTAAAGCTCTACCATAACAATAAAGAGCTTGAGCCAAATGACCTAAATCTCTACTGACTCTTGCAACAAATTCCCAATTTCTACCATCTGCTGGATTTAAATGAGCAGCTAAGAACCAAGCATTACATGCTTTATTCTTCAAATCTTGACGATCATAAATTTCACCTAACGTCTTATAAGCAGAAAAATTTCTTGGATCCAATTTGATAACTTCCAAAAATTTCTCTTCAGCTTCATCATAACGACCATCAACGAAAAATTCATTGGCAACTGAAAGCAACATCATGACTTCAGGATCTAATTCTCTTGTTGGTTTAGCTCGAGGTCTCTTTTTATCACCTCTTTTTTTAACTCTAAAATTATTAGCAGCTCTAATTGCATCCATAAATGCACCTTCTTCATCATCGTCCTCTTCATCTAACGAAACATCACTATCACTTCCGAAAGCAGCTGCAATTTCAGCATCGTCATCATCTCTTCCTCCTGTATTATTGTCTTCATCTTCTCCATCTGAAAACAAAATTGGTGTTTGATCATCTTCATCTTTATCACCCATTAAAGCATCCATATCAAAGCCTTGTAATTCGTCCTCTTCTTCGGCGAACACATTGCCCTCTTGCATGTGATAGTCCCCCTCAGTGTCTTGTCCATATGAGCCCGACATTTTGAAGGTAATTGAGCTAGCAAAAGTCTATTTGATGTTATAATCTGACGCGTATTTCCATATAATTAAACTCCCTTTGTTTATATTTTTTTGTTAACAGCAGAATTTTCGCGAAAAAACTGAAAATTCGCGAAATTGCTGTCACTTTTTTTGAGTGGCGATTTGAATTTTGATAAGTAAATAAATGAATTTTACCTGCAAAATAAACAAACAAGAACAAATTCAATTCAATTCAATTCAATTCCTATAGAAAATGGTAGGTTTATTCTGTTATTGCTAATACATCATGAAGATACTAACAGTATGTGCTAGTTTTCAAGCTTTGGTGGAGGAAATTTTGGGTTCCCATCGGGATCATCATTTGGATTTGCTAATATACCACAAAACTTTGAAGATTTCTTTAGATGTTATCCAATATCAATGATGCCTGATAGTACTAGAAAAGATGATGCAAACTTTGGTGGTAAAATCTTTTTGCCTCCAAGTGCTCTTAATAGATTAACAATGCTTCATATCAGGTATCCAATGCTTTTTGAGCTTAAAAACGAAGATCAAGGTTTAAAAACTCATTCAGGTGTTTTAGAATTCGTTGCAGAAGAAGGAAGAGTTTACTTGCCACAATGGATGATGAGCACTTTACAACTGAAACCAGGTGCAATCATTAAGATCACAAATTCTGATGTTCCATTGGGTAAATTTGTTAAAATTGAACCACAATCAGTTGACTTTTTAGATATATCAGATCCTAAAGCTGTTTTAGAAAATGTGCTACGGAAATTTTCAACATTAAGTGTCAATGATATAATAGAAATCAATTATAATGACAAGATTTATGGGATCAAAGTCTTAGAAGCTAAACCTGAATCAGATTCTAATAGTATTTGTGTCATAGAGACTGATTTAGAAACAGATTTTGCTCCTCCAGTTGGATATGTTGAACCAGATTATTCCAAAAATACCACTTCAAAATCAAAAGAATCAGCTAAACCTTCAGCTGGAAAACCATTAGGTACTATGGCAAAATCAATCAATTATAAAGAATTAGCACAAAAGGCAAGTCAAGAAATTTCATCATTCAAAGGTGATGGTGTAAAGCTTTCAGGTAAAGCTTCAAAACCAAAAAGTGCAGAAAAGAAATTAGAAGAATTAGATTTAAATTTTGATGGACCTCCAGCAAGATTAGAATTACCTGATGGACAATTGTTTTTTGGATTCCCATTAGTTCCTGTCCCGAATGATGAAAATTCTCAAGAAGAACAAAAACCAAGTGCATTTGTAGGCCAAGGTCAATCTCTAAGGCAAAGTAAAAAGAGAAAAGACACCAAATCTCATGAAAGTCCAAAACCAAAAGTACAAAGTCCAGAAGTGATAGAAATTGATTAGTTTCTATTATCTACAAAATTTAGTCTTTAAACTTTAATGCATTTCTATTTAATCTATAAACTCTCCTTTTTGTATTTCCTATTTCCCGATTGTACTTTTTTTACTAACAACTCTCATCAAAGCTAAAGGCATTTCTTCATCTTCTTCACCATTTGGATCCATATCATTATCACCTTCTGAATATTGACCAAGTGATCTAGTTCTTGACATATCACCACGAACCCAAGATCCAATTGAATAAACACGTTTACGAAATCCATTTGAAATACCTGATCCTGCACTTTCCATAGATTTTCTAGATCTTTGAGATTGAGAATTTGAAGTATTAACTAAAGCAATTGGATTGACATCACCTTCCTCCATTGATGAGGCTGTATCATTATCTTCATCATCTTCATCAATAATTGCAGAAGATGAATTTCTTGGGTCATTATAACGATTTTCATCATTATTTGAAACTGACTTATAACCTCTTGCGGCTTTTGCTGCATATGTAGTGAATAAAGAACGACTTAAAAATCCATACTTAAACTCATCAACACCAACAAGAATCTTAGTTAGTTCAATTAACTCTTCTAAATATTCAATAATTTCTTCAGTTGCTGCACTAGTTGCATTCCAACTTAAAAATCTTTCTTTTAATAAATTTTCATATTGTAAATTATGAATTTTTCTTTGTGGTCCATTAATTTTCATTTGAATTTCACCGTCATTATCATCATCATTATCATCACTATCACTTTCATTGATGGATAATTTAGCTTTTGGTTTGGTATTTGGATATCTCTCATTAACAACTTCTCTAACTTTCATGATCAATCTTTGTTGTGCAATTTTAGGACTTGGTAAATATTGAGGTAGTGGAGCTTTAGTAACAATAGCACGTTGAATAATATGTAAAACATTATTGATTGAAGCGGTCAGTTGTCTTCTATATGGATGTACAACTTCATTAAATTCTTCAATAATTGCAGAACCATAAATTCTTCTAAGTAAAACAATATTATCCATTCTATCCAAAATTTCTCTAAGAATGAAAATAACTTCATAAAAAACACGTTCCACATCATTATAGTTACCTTTCAATCTTGGCTCTTTTTTAGCACTTGCTCTATAAGCATCAGCTTTATTCAATGCAGTTTTAGCACTTGCTGACAATTTTTTATAACTTTCATATCTTTCTTCAGTCATACTTAATTTCGTCTTTTCTCCATCAAGACCAACAGCATAAATAATTTGAAGTCTTGCAATTGTTTCGAGTGCATGTGAAACTTCAATAATCAATTCATCTCTGGCTTTTATTGGGAAAATAAGTAATTGACAAATTAAAGCAACAGCACCACCATAAATCATGGCTAAACATCTTTTACCGAAATTTTCTAAAATTGAACCACCAATTTCTGATGGGATAACAGCAGAAAGTAAAACAATATAAACAGAAATGATCCCGATAATAGCAGCTTTAATATATGGAGTACCCAAAAAATAATAATAACCAGGGATAGCATAAAAAACAGTAACAATTGTTTCCAAATATGGATTTGTTTGATTTATCGCTGCAACATATGATAAATAACCCCATGCAGCTCCAGAAATAACACCAACACCTCTTAAAAAGAAAACAAAAAATGTACTACCAACTTCTGGTTCTAGGACAAGAATACAAACGAAACCGATCCAGGTACCTCTAATATTCACGTACCATTCTCTAGCTTTTGGTATAAACATTGGGAATGAAGCAAGCATTAAACCAACTGTGATTTGGAACCCAAATTTAAAATGAGGTTTAAAATCTTCATAAAATTCTAAAGCCCATACAACAAATTTATCGAAATAGTTTTTAGATTGTTCTTGATTATTTTGTCCTGGATCCAAAGCTGGTTTTTCATTAGTAATATCTGAAGCCAATGATTTTGTGCGAGGTCTTGTTTCTTCATCACCTAAAAAGATTTTAGATTGTGTATCACCTGTTAAACTAGCAGTTTCATTGGCATTTGCCATATCATTTTTATTAGCAACAAACCATCCTTTTAATTGATCTGTAGAAGTTAAAAATGAAAACCATAATCTTCTTCCGAAAATTCCCTTTGATTCTTGTTTTAAACGATATTCATAAATAGTTTTAGTTTCTTTCATAACGTTACAAACAGAATTTGCAACTTCTTTCAAGTTCATAAGGAATGATGATAATAAAAACATATCATCATTTGGTGATAAATATTCATCATATTCTGTATTCAAATTATAAAGTTCATTTCTTAATGTTATATCAAAATCAGCCATAGCTTTTGCTAAAGCATTGATACGATCATCAAAATCAACTGATTTAATGTCAACATCTAGGAATTCAATACATGAAGATTTATTAACCATTTTCATATTAGCATCATATGAATGGGCAATTGCTAATTTTATAACATATAAACTTTCTGAAATAACTTTATGAAGATTAAAAATAGGTGAATGAGCACGATCTAAAACTGTTAACAATAAATCACCTTTTTCTGAACCATTTAATTTGGTTTTTTCATTTAATAATGAAAATTCTAATTGTGATGCATTAATCAAAGCACTGACATATGATAATTGAGATTTTAATAATTCTAAAACACTCTTGATCTGAACTGGTGATACGTATGAGTATGAAATTTCATACATACATTCTTGTAAAACTGCTTGTGTTGTATTTATTTTAGCTCTTAATGTTGTTTTCTTTTTAGTTAATTGTGCTAGATTTAATGGTTCCTTTATATATAGTGCTTTATCATTTCCTGTTGAGATGAAAAATTGCACTGTAGAATCAATTGTATCTTGAACTTCATTTAATGATAATATCATAGATCTACCCAAATATGATGATCCGAATTCTGGGAATATAATCAAGTTACAAGCTAATGAGAATGCAATACCAACGAAAAATGGTACGGTGAAACTCTCAGCCATTTCAGCTGCACTAGTCTTCAAATCTCCCATAAATGTGAAATGAACAACAAGAAATAATGGAAAAACCATGGCAAAGAATTTATGGGATATACTTCTCATCCAACCATGAAAGAACAACATCAATATTTCGAGAACTGCCAATATAGCTAAAGCTGCTTGATAGTTATGATAATTTTCAGTCTTTTGTAATTTATCAATTAAATCTAACTTCGATCCCAGGGCTTTTTGAGCTAAAAATCTTCCAAGTAAAGCATAAGCGTTACCCAATAACAATCCTGATGTACATAAGAATGATGCCTCAATCATTGTACCAAATCTTCTTCCAGGATGAACCATAACTGATAATAATGGTAACATTGCAGGTTCGGCTCCAAGCTTGGAGAGTGTATTTGGATTTAAACATAATATAAGAGCAATTGTTGAATTGACGACACATTTGAACACTCTTTGACATAATATTCTATTTGGTTTCTTAAGCCTCAAGTATTTGTACATATAATCTGAAACTTGAGCCATCTTGATTTTGTTGTTAGAAAAATGTTTGTTATATTAACATTGATACCAAAGCAAAGTATAAACAACTAAATGAAGGGTCTAGATTCCTTCTAGCAATATGAAATGACAAGAGTTTTCAGTTGAGTATAATGGACGATGAAGACCGTTATATGACTAGTAAATAAACCAACATGTAACATATATAAATATCAAGAACACTTTCCCTTCATTGGACAAAGATCTAGTACTTATCAAATTGATTTAATTTCTTACTCACCTGTCAAAAAAAAAATTAAGAATCAGGTGGCATATTTTTGGCTCCCGGGATTAATCTTGGCGTGTATATTTGAGAATGTGCTGAACTTTACACTCCTGGAGAATCTCGGATCTGAATTCCCAAAGGAAAAAAAAAAAAAAAGACACTTCTGAAAAATTTGTACGAGAAAACAATTGTTAGGTACTATTTGACTCATTAATTGATTCGATCTATTACGTTCTTCGTTGAGGTATGATCAGCTTTAAGTTGAGGTGATTCAGCAAGTTACTTTAAGATATGACCATAAAACTTGAGTTATCATCATTGCTAATGAACTCACTTATGATCAAAAAATGAAAGAGCTTAATTCTCAGATTAGAAAGATCAATATTCTCATGAAATGGTGACACCAAATATAAATTTGACATAAAGTATTGCTATAGTATATCAAGATATGAAGAAAGATTAATTGTGTGAAGTACTAAAAGAATAATCCTGTTCTGGAGCTAACCAATTTAATTGTTTGAAGAATAAAGATCATCAAATCCACAGATAGATACTCTGTTTTCAGCTTTCAATATCCCTATTCATCTTTATTAGTTTTGCGCTCAATTATACATTAATAAACCATTCAATTATTTGGCAATATCTCAATATCACTTTAATACCGGTCAGGGTATATCATATGTCACGTGAAGTTAAATAGGGTTTGATTTGTGCTTTTTGAATCTCGGATTTTTAAAAGCTCATATCTTTGATACTTCAATCCCAACTACTACTAACATGGACTTAACTGGATTGATAATTCACTAGAAGTATGGCCTTTAATCAGTGCTTCTATATTTTTATACTCATAAGAAAAGCTAGATCAGTACTGGGCGTGTGTTGATAATTTATAATTAAATTTCAAGTCAAGGATGTCTTGGGGTAATTATTATAAATGACAAAACCTCAATGGGTTTTTAGGTGTAGATCGCTTAAGGGATCAAAAAGAAAATTATAGCTATTAATGATTATTATTTTAGAACAACTAAATGCTCACCATGTGTTGTACAATTGGCTTGAATAAATATTGCATAAACATTGAATAATCAAGATTGAATAAAATATGAGTTAAAAGCTAAATAATCTTCAAAGGTGAAATCAAATATATTAAATCTTGGAGAAGAGTGTCTATAAAGGCATATTTCAAATTGCTAACTAGGAAAATTGCCAAATATATTTAAAAAAAAATTATAAATTGAATATTCAAATTATAGACACACAGAATTTTAAATCTAATGAGAAAATTTACTGATTTACACGTCTTTATGATAAAATATTGCCAATAGCTATAAATCGAGAGTGAAGATATCAATTTGTGATATATTAGGTTGACAAAATATTGTGTTGAACTAAGGTCTAATCAATTTTTAAAATATTTTATGCTTATATATCAATGATTACAATCAAATGAAGTCAACAAATGATTTTCTATATAATACAAATCAATTAAATGTAGCTCATATCTTTTACTGATTATATATCATACATTTGGCCTTCCCAATTATTTTACTTTAACTTAAGTGCTTCTAAATCATGATCTCTGGAAGACGACGTACTCGAGTGGAAACTTATTTAATTAAACCTGCTATATCCGATCGACCTCAAATTCCCCAACTAGAACTGGGAGTTGGGAGTTTGGAATTATAGCAGTTTATTCATAATCTCATTTGGATCGTACTTCGGTTTAATTTCGCAGTAGTTATTCATGGCATGAGTCTAGGTAGCTGGGGGTTTGGAATGGAATGAGAGATGTCGTTCAAATTAGTTCTTTCAGCGTTTGCATTCTTTCAGCGTCCGCTGGGAACTTTATAGCTGCTTAATTTGAGTTTATGATTTTTGGGCAGCTTACGTCTTGGGTCGTTGGGAGTTGGTCGATCGATGTCGTCGATGGATCTAATAAGAACGTTGTCGAGTGGTCGACGAAAACCATCAGCCCAGATCAGGCCAAAATCCGATTGGCGTTGGCCATCGGCGTTACATAGAGCCTGGATATACATAGTGAGTGCTATATTGACAATCAACATGCTTTATATACTCAATATGAAACAACCCTTCAATGAAATCATAAATACCATTCAGCAGGAGAGTTGTATATCACTTTAACTAGTTAACTAATTCGATTATACTATGCCTCATAACTCAAATAATGACAAATAAATACAGATGGAGGTTTGGATAATTAGACATTGATTACATAATCATAATATATTCTTAACAGGGTGTAATTATAGAACTTTGTATAGGACTATAGTATTTTAAAGCTATTTTTCAGCTCTCTTTACTACATTATTTATTATGGAAGTCTGAAATAGCTTTTTTGTCGAGTTTGAATTTTTATGATTTGAACATTCATGTAATTATGAACTTAAAATAAAAATTCTTAGGTCAATCTTTTTTCAAAAAATACAAAAAGTAAAAAAAAACATCTTAGCTATTGATCAAACAAATAATGAATAAAATATACCAGACAAAAGGAATTACACCCCTAATATTTTTTCTTTGTTAAGCCAGATATCAAGCTCAAACTTAGAGTCATTATGATTATATGATTACATAATCGATTACATAAAGTTATAATCAATTAGTGAACAATGTGAATAAAGGTAATTTCGTGGATACAATGTGAAAGTAAATCATAAAAAAGATGATTCGAAGGGTAGAGATACTAGAAAAGCTATCCCAAAACATTCTTATTGTAAATCCACACCATAATATACGTATCGTTACCGAAGTTCGTAGAGCTTATGCTATTCAGGATGTAAGTTTAAGCCGCTGTTACTATCTAACTCGTTAAAACTTGGCGCAACCATAGCAAACTTCAATTAGTATATAAAATTAATAACATTTCTTTGATATATATTATACAAATACCTCTATTCGGAGAAGATTTATTAGTATATAACCAGATAACATGATCTAGATAATTGTACTGGAACTAAAACATGAATAGAGACAGCTATAGTTTTGAAATATCTAAAAGAAGACTACATATATATTTATAACTATAAAAAGAACGATGTAATGTTGGAACCATGTGGTTGTTTGATTCATCCATCCGTTCGGACCGTTGAGATCAAATAAGTTTAGGTTAATCGATTTTTGGATCTACCATACTCGCGGCTATTCAAATAGAGGTATAGACATTTAGATTTCGGTTGTGGGTACGCGCACTTCGCGAATAGAGAGGTATTAGTGAGAGATGGTGGGAATTTATATGCAAAAGTTCTCAAGAAAGGACTCATCCCAGCGAAAAGAAGAATGGATTTTTGGAAAATTGGAGTGAAATC